TTTTGTAGAAAATTTTGGTAATTTATCATCTACTAGTAACATATCCTTTACCATGCTCAGTAGATGATTAAAACATGAGTCACTAATGTTAAACTCTGATTTACAATTTAAAAGTTAGGACATATTAGAGAAGATTGCATGTTTCGTACAACTTGACCACAACGGTTCATTCACATTACTCAACAAAGAATAAAAGCTTGCCGTGTCTACATTTGACTCTTTTTCGAATAGTTTTCTTGCCTTATTGGCATCCATACCCAGTTCTCTTGCCGTATCTATCCCAAAATCAAGATATACAACATCCATAACCATTATACTATAAGAATTTTTTATTCTCATTTCCTCTATCAGTTCAAAGGTATCTCTATTTTTTAAAGAAGGTTTTACTACTTATAACTCTTCATATGAGACCCAACTCATGTAACCTATTGGAAACCCTTTATAATAAAGATGCTTACACACCACATCCATTTTTAAAATTATTTTATTCTCACATTTGGTACAAGGACACCTAATCTTTCCATTACTAATAAAATTTGATTGAGAATAAACATATCCAATAAATTACTCCACACCATCGTAGAATTTTTAAATAATATATCCATTAACATCTAAACAATAGCACATTCAAGAATGATCTTTATCCATTATTAAACCCTAATTGAATTGAAATATAAGCAATTAAAGTCATATAAAATGTTGAACTTTTTTATTGATTGAACATATGAGCTATTATTACTATACTAAACAAAATTATATAAATGATAACATAAGGTATTGGTCTACTTTAATAAATGATCTTGCAAAAATTTATCACATATACTACAAGACAATACATTCATAGAAAAATATTATTGGTTTTAATAACAGAAATTTACCTTTGATCTTGGCCTTCTTAGTGCAATTCCGTTGGTTTTACGAAGAATTTTTTTTATTGTGATACTTCTACGTACAAAATTTGTTCTACTTTCAAAGTAGTTGAAATGGAAAAATTAAGCAAGTTAGTATGATGAAAATGAATAAAAAATCATATTCATTACGGAATATATATCCACCTAAACCTACTTTCATAACACATATTCACAGATAGATAATGAAAAAAAAATAAAATAGAACAATTTAATTATTTATATTAAGTTTGATCAACACAATCAAACCACAATATTTCAATAATTAGTAATATATAAATTTCATTAAACTATCAAATATATAAACTATTTCAAAAAAATATAAATTTTAACAATAAATAACTTACTTCAAAATGAGATAGCTATTAGTAATATATAAATTATAATATCAAATCAATATAAATAATTTTAATTTTTATAATTATTATTAAAATCTAGAAAATATTAAATATAAAACATTCATACAAATATATGTAAATATTAATATCAAACCCAAATTAACCAACCCTAAATTTTACACAACTAAAAGTTAATAAATATATAACCAAACCCAACAAATGTCAACAAAACTTTCATAAATAAAAAATATATAACTAAAAAATAAGAAAAACCTTACAACCAATGCTAAAAATAAATAAAAAAAAACAATACTCAATATTAATACTCAACAAAAAATCCATTAAAAATATATCACCAACAAATTTTAACAAATATATAATCAAAACCTAAACAAATTTCAACAAACATAAAACCAATAAAAACTCAACAAATTGCTAACCAAATCTCAAGTAAATTTCATCAAATAATTAACTAACAAAAACTAAACAATTGGTAACCAAAACCCAAACAAATTTATAACAAAAAATTAAACCCTAAACTCAACAAAAAATAAACATAAAATAAACTAATTAAAAAAAATTGGTCGAAGCTACTTAGGGGACAAGGTTGTGGTGCCAGTGGCAAGGTAGCGGCAAGAGAGAAAGGGAAGGGGAGAGTGGGAGAGGGGAGGGTGAGGGAAGGGGAAAGGGATTAGATATTTGTTAATTTGAGAGGAAAGGTAAGGGGCTGATGATGGCGGGTTTGAAATTTTTAATTTTAGTGATGGTTTTATTGACGAAATTTCTATTGGTAATGAAAAATTTTTAACTTTTATCGATGATTTTATCGATGGAACTTCCATCGGTAATGTCGAAATTTTGTTTTTGAAATTTTTTTTAGCAACAGATTTTTCTATTAGAAAAACCATCGGCAATGTCAAAAAAAAAGTTTTTTTGAATTTTTTTTAATGATGGATTTTTTCGTTGGTAAAATTGGTAGTAGTTCAAGTCAAACTTTTAACGACGAATTAATTATGGATTTTATTTTGATAGCAAAATCTGTTATTAATTTATCGGTAAAAGTGTTTTAAAAATTCTGTCAGTATTTTGTTGGTAATTCGTTGGTAATTAGCGACAGAGAAATTATCGGTAAATCATCGGTAATAAATGTTTTTTTAGTAGTGTGTGGGATAACACTACTTTAATATATTTCTATCATGCGTAGGCGAAGATAGAAAAAACCTATTATATAACAAATTTGAAAAAAATAACAAAAAAAAATTCTAACTCTAATACCATATTAAGCATTTAACTTAAAATCAATTAGTTGTAAATGGAAGGTCCGATCTGAATATAAAATTATAAAAAATTAAATATTTATTAAATATGAGATAACATCACTTTTATGTATGATATTATGTGATCTTCATTAAATGCTTTGGCTAGTATAAAAAAAGATCGTATATTAAGTAAAAAAACATGTTTGTTGACAGTATGATCACTTGAATGTTTGCTAGTAGGAATTTTGAAGCTCCTTGTCGTTGCATTTCAAAAGAAAATTTTGATTATCCTATTTATATTAAATCATGCTTGAATTATCAATATTTTATCACCTGAATATTTTAAGGTTGTTGGATTTAAGTAGCTTGATAATCACCCTTTACTTATCTGATGCTCACAGCTCTCTACAATTAGGCCCGCCAAACGCAAATATATTTTGTGCAACCAAATTATGTGGGCAAAAATCCTAAAATACCCTTACTAATAATACTCTTACATATAAAATTTGGTCCAGGGCTCTGCCCCTTGCAACCCCTCGGAAAGGGGGTTTACCACCCAATTCCAACCCCTACTTCGGGTTTACTACGAAAGTTGATTCGTGTTTTGACTATGCACAAGCGCAATCAATGCAAGGGCCAAAATTAGGCTTCACACATAATAACGTATTTGAATCTAAATATTAAAACGTATCATCCTCATCAATCATCATTGGAAGTTGCACTATTCACAACTGTCTGTGAAGACCAACTTTTACATGCTAGGCTCCTCACAATAGCCTTTCATATTACCTGATAGTGACATGTCCAAGGAGCAATCTTTGCTCCTTGACCTAATTCTCGGCTTCTGATCAAGTTGTGCAACTGGAGTTACTTTTTGTTTCTTAGAATCTTATCATGAGCAGTAGTTCCATGGTTATCACAGATCAATACCATAGTCGTCAATCTAGTACTAATGAAATGTTTGATTGGAGTGATTTTGATTATAGATTATTTTTTTCCCTTTAAACTAAATTTTCATGCAGCATGTGTGACAGTCACTAGAAAAGCAGTATCAGAGTCAGGCAGTCAGCTATGTCTTTATGCAAGATAACTGTATTCTAAGGTAAGCTAACTGATATCTCTCTGGTTTGAAGGTTTATAAATTATACTAATTGACGCACAAAGTCAACAATTTCTGGCAGGGTTGAGTGCCCTGCAGGCAGATGTACACTTCTTGCATAACGTAAACCTTTTTTTTTAGGACAAGTAACTATTTTTATTCATCCGAAGCAAGAAATAGAAATCCAGCTACAAGAAACAAGCATGATGGAAACCTTAATACATCTTACACTATATTCTTTGGACTAATTTCTCAACGATTTCTTGTTTTATTTAGACAGGAATTTCACTGCTTTTTGATTGGTAATATAGCATCAATTGGAGTATGAATGACCTAATCTTTCTTTTCATCTGTCAGCTCCCATCACATGCATACTCTTCGTAGTTAGTCCCTTTTCATTCGAATATTCTCCGCCAAAGGACCTTAGTGTTTCATTGGAAACTAGAGCTAAGTGGTCACTGTAGTGTTCTAAGTGTCTCTGGTATTTTTGAGTGGTTTCAGAAATGGAGGCAGTGATTCTGAACCATTGCATTTTGAAATAATGGAGGTGGCCTTGTTTGTCACTAACTTTTCACTTAGAAAACGTTAAGTACAGTAATTGAATAGAGAATCAACTGTGGCAACCATTGCCACAACATCTCCTACATATAAAGTCAGAATCTCCTAGACAGCAAAATATTCTCCTTTTTAACCGACTTTATGCGCAGATCTTTTCTTTTTTGGCTGATGTGAAATGAATAAAGTTGGATGGAACGGGAAATATCCATTAGACTCGTAATGCTTAGTTGATCCTTAAGGATAAAGAAAGTCACGATAATCAAGTTTTTCCTAAGAGTGAAAGCCATTCAGGTAGAGCTTGTCATAATTTCAGAGGAATAAAGATAAAATAATTTAGATTTCATTAGAGATCCTTTTTAGTTCAGGATATTCCATGAGATGCTTTATGTGCAGGTTCTATTGAAGAAGAGGAGAAAGCATGAATGATCGGCAAGAAAAATATGGAGACAATCAGCTGCTTCAGTTAATTTGCTAGTAATTATGCAGTTTGAATTTAGTCATTATTATCTCCTCATAAACCAAATAAAGAAAAAAGATAAAAAAAAAAAATCTTCTATATCTCAAGCTGGAAGCTATGTTGCAATCAAGTTGCTAACTGATAAATAAAATAACAAGAGTGTTCCTGATGTCATGTATTTGACTGTACCCTCGAAAATGATATTTTGCAAAATCTTTGTATCTTCTCCACTTTGTTTATTGTGCTAATTCTAGGTCTTGCTTCAGTTTTGAAATCTTTTCCATTGATTGCTGATTGTAAGGAATTATCAGAGCATGATGATACGCTAATGTCAAAATGAAATTTATCTTTCAACATGACTGCCGGTGCCCGTGCTCAAAATGATATGGAACTTGGCATTGAATATACAGAAAGGCAGGGAAGAATGAAACAGATTATAGCATCTTAGTTTGAGAGAAGAAAGGCAGTAGGCCTCTGGTGGTTTAGCCTCAATTCAGACTTCACAATCTAGCTACTTTTCCAATGGCTTTCTGCCATGATTTGATATTCGTTGATTCTGAAAGGGAAACCAAGTATTAATAAATTCTCATTATCTTTGCGCATTCAACATAGCACAGTTTGGCATGGTATGGCATTGGCACGAATTGCAGCAAGTTAGATGCTGCAGCAGGTGGTCAATGTTTCTTTGATTGGAGGTGCGTCCATGTTAAATTTAGTATTTTACTTGAATTTACTTCATAGAAATTAAAAAGCATTAATCTGACAGACTCCATCCTTATCTAAATCTGTTGTTCCCTTCATTGTGTGTTGCATTTGTCTTAGAAATTGGACTTTGAAGAGAATAATTAGCAGTTATCTGGCAAATTTGGTATTTACAACCCTTTTAAGGCGGTGCTTTTTGTCCCGTGCCTCTTATAACTCTAGTCAATAATTAACATATGACATGGTTGAACTTTTTGGTTTGAAAAAAAATAATCAACTAGCCTTAAGCTTCCTCATTGTACTTGCAATATTTGAGAGGCACTGAGTAGTATCAATTTGCAGCATATGATAAAGCATATGTCTGCCTGCATGCTGCAATGCATTTTTTTTTTCTTTTAGAAAAAAATATATTCATAACATCGATGTTATCATGTGTAAGCTATTGCCTTCTGAAATATTCTTTGGCCAGGAGCAAGTATTGCCAAGGGGTCGTAAGTGGATTTTCTCTGGACAAAAACTTCCCATTTTGGGCCAAAATGGGATTGCCATTCTCCTTGTGTCGAATAATGGGGCAGGTACTGCTTTACCTGAAGACGAGCTATCTCACAGAATTCTAAGATTCTGTTGTTCTGAATTAAGATGTGGTCTAAGCCATCACTTCCTGTTGAAGAAGGTACTGCGGAAGAAAGGAATGCCACTAAATAGAAAACATCTTCTTCTGGTATAGCAACAGAAGTTCTATTGTCCCACCTGTAATCAAGATTAACACTCGATCAATCAAAGAAACTCATGAATCTTAAGAAATGAATTACTCATTTTTGTGAAAAATTTACTTTGATTTGTTAACCGGGTAGATGAGGATGGGACCATTGCTTGTATCTGTAAGGATATTGCCAAAGACTCCTTGAGCAAAACTGTGGATTTTACTGCTGGGGATGAGAAGATTGAGCCATGGGTGTGGAACTTCCCACAAGCCTTTTGACCGGAGTTTGATCTCGGAAATGTGAACCCTGTCTAAAAACTCAATGTATGGAATTTCTGATATAAAAAGTGTAGATGCAATATGGTTTAACCGAGATAATGAACTCCTAATTTCCTGCATAGTAAAAAGTCCCTTTATCAGTTTATTTGTTTCCAATTGACGAGCTATTAATAATTTATTTGGTAAACATAGGAAGTCCAACTGATGGTTGGGAGAGTGCCTCACCTGATTTACTACAGCCGTTTCTTCTGGGTTGAAGTACTTTGCTAATTCTAGACAGAAGAGAGTTTTTCCATCTGATTTGAATTGGCTGGCTTGTACTGGGTCTTGTGGATTGAAGGATGATCTCCAGTTATTTAAGAGACCAGTCCTGTTTATTATCACAAATCCTTCAATATAGTCAAATGTTGTTTCTCCAGATATTAACTTCTCTTGGTCCCTGGCAAATGTGGCAAAATCTGTATACAGCACTCTCATCCATTTCACCTGTTAATGAAGGAGAATAGTCATAAGATGTGTACTTTCAACTAAACTAAAACATTTTTAGTTTGAAATTGTCTTCTAGCTTAATGATTGCCGTTTTTACCATTTCGGGTGCTGGTTCCAGCGATATTCTTGCCCGCGTTATGATGCCAAACTGACCAAGTCCTCCAAGAACGCTGTAAAAAAGATCGCTGTTCTGTTTCTCTGAGCAGTTTACCACTTCTCCTTTCCCTGCATTTATGTACAGTCCATCTTCAATTGATATATATGCTGTGATGTTGCTATTTGATTTCCTCGAGAAACTAATAGATAACCAATTGTCTAAGCATATTTTATGAAACATGGGTGATCATGCATTATGGAAGAAGCTACCAACCCAAAAATTTCAGTTTCAAATGAATTTTCAAATCAGACAAGACATATTTAAAGTTAATGTTATGATAATTTGCCCATGTGTCACTCTATGTATTATCATAAATCCTGCTTTCATTGATACTGAATTTTGTCAGCCTATGATGGTCCTTGAATTTACTATAACAAACCTGTAACAACTTCCAGTTGGAGAACATTACTGATCTGCGGTCCGTGCCGAAATGCCTGTCCACTGATCCCAGCATTAGACAGAGTACCACCAACTGTTAAATGTAGGTAGTCTGTCCAAGATTTTGGTGCTAACCCATGTTTCAGGCTTTCACGGAGGACATTTATCCACAACTCACCACCAGAGACATCCACATAGGGGAAGTTCCCAGCGTGAACCTGCATTTTAGGGCCTTGGAGTGATTTCATGTTGATCACAACTCCTCTGTGGGCTTGTGCCTGGCCATGGAGTGAGTGGCCATGGCCTCTAGCTGCAACCGTGAGTTCTGAACGAGGACCCATCTGCCAAACATGCTTCACTGTGGCAGCAATATCAGAAACTGACTTCGGGTGTAGAACTGCCAAAGGAAGGAAACTGTATCTATTGCCAAAATCTTTTGCTGCATGGTGAACATCTTCAAAATTGAAATGTCCATCAATGGAAAGTGTTTTTAGTGAAGAAGGAATGCTGGGAAAGCAGAGGTTGATTTTAAAGGTTATGCAGCTCAGGAATAAGATCATGAAGCTTCTTAAGAAAAACATGTTTTTCTGTCTGGGAAAGCTAACAAGAGGATATCTCATATCTTTGTTTCTTCTCTTTTTTTTATTTTGGAGGGAATGGTAGACGAAAGGCTTTGAGTCTCCTACTCGTTGGTTCTATGTTACTTGTGGGCAAAAGCAGAGGGTAGAAGAGCCAGGGAAGTGACGAATTGAGGGGAGAATTTAAAGGGGATGATTTGGATGGCTGAGTCAACCTATCTTCAGTTGTTGGACTTTGAATCCGTATGAAGACTGCCTTCTTGGGTGGGAGAGTTCTAGGATTTTCTTTCAGTTCTCCTTTTTGGGCTCTTTTGTTTGTAAGAGAAGCCATCACACATAAGCCAAGTTGAAGAGAAAAAGTCACAAAAATGAAAGATTTTCACAAATCTTTGCACTTTTTTCGAACAGTTGCAACCACAATCCCACCTTTTTCACCTAAGACAAACATGTTGCAAAAATTTTCTGATTAACCCTATGTTCAAAGGATACCCTTTTACCGTTTTTTGAATATAAGAAGTCATGGCTTTGGTTGGAAGTTGAATGCATTTTTCTCAGCCTCTTATGTCAGGGTATGCCCATGCCATGCCCCCAATCTCACTCCCATGAGCGATGCATGCTCTCCTTGAATCCGTCAGTATCGGAATGTAGACATCACGTATCTATTCAGATTTGGATGAGAGGGACTGCCCAGGCAGGCATGGAATTGATTCCTTCGAGAGAGAGGGAGATGGCAAAGTGGGGTAGCAAGGGGTCCCTGGGACACGTGAAATTCAAATGCTTACGTGCTTTGTGGTTGAAGCTCTATGATTGGTCACGTTCCCTTTGGACCGACGAGGAGAGCCTGCAATTGAAAAGAATGAACCAGGTGATGACAGCTTGGGGGCGGCACATAAAGGCCCATTCTTTTCATTTGGCAATCTGCTGTTTCTAATTGTTTTCATGCCTTGCCTTGGTATCTAGCAACTGGACAACTTAATTGATTCTCTTGTTTATATGATTTAGAATGCGATTAGATTTACATTGCAGTAGCGTAATTATTGGTTCTTCCCCCCTTTTTGTAAGCAAGTTGTGTTGCGAACTATGCACAATAGAGGGGGATTCTTATCGGTGTCAGTATCATTTTTCTGTTGGTGAGATATTATTGGAAAGTGAAAAACCAAATTTACTCCCCCCCTTCCCACCCGGCCTAATGTAGCAGAAGTCAGATACAGTTTGGGAATTGGCAAGGGCTATAGGTGTCATTGCATTGATGAAAGCAGCAAGCAAGATAAGAAACTCTGAATCTGAATTATTGACTTCCTACTTCCTTAGATTCTCTCTCTCTCCCAATTCCCCAACTATAGAAGATTCTATATTCTATCATATCCCTCATTTCGCACTATTTGTCTCTTTTTCTTAGACTTTGGGTACCTGACTGACCCACTAACAACATATACATATTAATTATAGACTGCTTTAAGGAAAATGCCAATATTTGTACCATACCTACTTGGATACAAAATCTACGTATAAATATATTGTGGATCATCCATTCCATTACTAGAAATTGCATTAGGTAAAGAAAACTTAGAATGTCAGACAAGTAAAAAATTGAAGTGAAAATGACCTAAACAACATGCCGAAAAAAAAAAAAAAAACACGTTAACAACAAAAGTGACACGAGTGAAAGAGGTTAAAAGTCACAAATTTACTCTCTTTAGACAAATCAAATCTTAAAAGAAATAGCCATGAATCCAGCAGCTGTTCTACATATTTCGGAGTTTAGGAGTCTAGGCATCTTAATTTATCATTATTATATACTATAACCATAAAAAGATTATGAAATTTTGAACAGATATTGCACTCACTTATCCTCTAGCTTACTAGAGCCTATGGTGTGAAAGTGTGAACTAGATCCAACAAATGTAGTTGTGTCTAATCTCTAATAAATGATTATATGTGGAGAAAAAGCTAATCTTGAATAATTATATACATGTTTTCTAGAAGGAGACCGACCACTAATAAATAACGAAATCAATTCTTATTATAATTATTAACATCTACATTAGGGCATCTCTAATGATTTTGTGGGTATGTTGAAAGCCCCCAAACGTGGGGCCTCCCTTGTCCGTTAAATGCTACATTTGTGGAATGCAAAGCCTCTTTAATGGTAAAACAATATTGAACTTTAATCGATAATCATAGGAGCAGTTGTCATAAAAGACATCAAAGGGGCGGCAAGGGTGGCTCCAATGCAGCATGGATGGACCTTTCCACGCTCACCCTCATGTAAAATCATCAATCAAAAACTTGACACGATCATTAGCCACGTCAGTAACATCTCCACCATTCCATTGACTAATCCGAGATTGAGCACCGGGGAAAGAAGTTTGGACAGGTGTGGGTGGAGGTGCCATGCATTAGGCCGGACGAGACGGATGAGATTGCCACCTAGTATTATTTGTCACGAGGTGAAACCAGAAATATGAGAGATCAAATAGTAATTTTATTAAGAAAGAAAAAATAAGCTATTATTTTTTATGGAATGAGATATTTTATTACATGATGTAAAAAGAGTTATGGGGGTCATGATCCGCCTTGTAAACATTCAATTTTGTTAGGATTAATTTAAATTTGTTTTAATTTTTGACTTAATTTGCATATTTTTATTTGAGTTGGTTTAAGCATTAAATTAAATTAGATTTGTTTGAATTTGTTTCGAATTAGTTATTTTTAATTTAATTTTATTAATATAGAATTAATCAAATTAATTGAAAAATTACAAAAAATTACAAAGAAAAATTTTAATTAATTAATTAATATTAAATTACAAAAAAAAAATAAATTACCAAAAAAATTAAAAAAAGGTGAAAAATCACAAAACAAAAAATGGACAAGAAGATAATTCCAATCTTTGCACAGTCCCTAACTTTCCAATCCCAGCTCCATTACCCTACACACTAAGCTAGGACTAGCCCTGGTGTCATGGTCTTAGATAGGAGCCATGAATTTTACATCGATTGTGTATTAGAATTGATCTTGGAATATAAGGGTTCACATATCTTCAACTTGTGAGGCGTCTTTTGTGAGATAAAATTGTGAGGCTAACGGGCCAAAGTGGACAATACCTCACAAATTAGTGTGGCCCGTGACATTTGGTATCAGAGTTGGCTCTAGGGATGCTAACGATTAGCTATTGAGGACGGTAAGCCTCCGTTGGAGTGAAAGAGGATGTCATGGTCCTAGAGAAGAGCCATGAATCTTACATCGACTGTATACTATAATTGATTTTAGGATATAAGGGTTCACACTCCTTCAACTTGTGAGGCACCTTTTGTGGGATAAAATTATGAGGTTAACGAGTTAAAGCGGATAATACCTCACAAGTTAGTATAGCCCGTGACGCCTGACATGTCTCTACCCATTCCACGCCATAAGGGACCAAATCCCTTGTTGGTTCCTCCTACGAGGCAACAAAAAAATTTCACAAATAAAAACCAAAGATGACAAGAACATGGGGAGGAGGCCTTATACCTATTTCCACCTCCTAGCCTCGCACCAAGCCCCAAACACTCCCATACAAGACTCTACACCATCCTAAACACTCCCATATAGCTAGGCACCGGCCTTGGCTTGTGCTAAACCATCTCCAAGCTTTAGCTTGCACCTACTTAAGATCCCATCACCATTTTCCCTCGGCATGTGCCTTCATCATCATCTCCTCTCCTACCGATAACAACCCCTCTGTTTCCATACAATCAAACACCAATCGTCCCAGACCAAGCCCAAAAAAACTAGCACCTTCCTTTTTACCCACCAGTCTCAACCAAGACCTTGACCCACCCTTTTACCTATCAAACCTCAACCCTGTCAACACAACCTAGGCCGCATCAGCCACTAACCAAAACCACTCTTCAAACAGCCATAGAATTAGACCTTTGTCCACACCAAGGCTTTATTTGATTGTCTTCAAGCACCCAGACCCTCACCTCAACCTCACTCCCAAACCAAACACCAACCCAATAACTCTTTCGCTTGCATTACCTCGATCAGACCTTACCCTGCCAACTACCTACTGCCTATCGCAAAACCAATAGTCCCAGAATATTTAACCACTACTAACCTTTTTCAAAATCCTCAAGTCTTCATCAACCCACACTAACGTAAAAAACCTATCACAAAATAAAAAAAAAAGCAAAAACAAAGCAAATTACAGTTTTCCTTATAGGGTGGAATTTAGCACTAAGAGCTATTTACAAAAACAAAAACAAAAAAAATAAAAATCAATCTTAGCTTACAAAAAAAAAAAAAAGGAAAGAGAAAGGAAAAAGAAGGAAAAATGAAACAACGATGGCATATGCAATGATGATAATGGCTCTTAGAATTGGTGGCTAACAGCGAAAAAAGAGGCATTACGGTGAGCTAACATTAGAATTGGGCATAGTTGGGGTGGAGGCACCTGGTTTTGGTTTCTTTTGAAAGAAAGAAAGAAATTTTTTTAATAGGAAAGTTGAAATGAATTAAAAAAAAAAAAAAGATTTTATATATAAAAAAAATGAAAAGAAGGAACCCGGCATGTCAACCCGACTTGTGACTAAGATCTAACCCGACCTATTCTTGGCAGGATCTAACCCGCGATCCAGACCCAACTCAACTTCTGTTTGGGCATATTCCTTTTGCTGGACTCGTCTTTGTAGCAGGTCACAAATAAAACCTAAGTTCAGCCCACCTACTTTGGATTCTTTTATTGAATTGGATTAAACCTAGCTTATGGTAAATTTATTTTAATTTAACCTATTTACTTATTTATTTATTTATTTTTCATGCATTTTTTATTTAGATAAATATTTAATTATTTCAAATTGTTGATAAACAATAAATAATAATAAATATTTTTTTTTGAAATTATGTTTATAAATATAACATAAATAAAAATATTATTATTACAAATTTTTCGATGATGGGATTTAGGGAAGTACTAGTGATTCTTGATAATTTTTTAGGTAAAAAAAGATTTTTAAAAATTATCAAAGTATTAAAATATTTAAAAACTCTTTTCAATATTAAAAAAATAAGTTTTAATATGTAATAATCACACTTAACAAAAAAAAAATTAATGATAACTAATATTTTTTGTTTTCGAATTCCTCTAACACCTTCAAAATCATTATGACACCAAGCTCTAGCTACATCCCTGATTTGTCGTCGCCATCCTCATCATCATATGCCCACGAGAATAAAGAATGTGGTTAGAAGGTTGGTAGGGCACAAATTCGATTTAGGATGCTCAAATCTATGTGATTAATAAATAATTATGCATATCATGTTTACTATCCAACTTGTTATTCCACTTTAATCAATGTCTCCTTGTCTCTATTCCCCATCCCTGAGGCTGAGGCTAAAGTTTAAAGCTTGAAATCTCTTTGTTATATTCATGATTGCCGTGATTAGCTACTATTTTTACCTTTGTTGATATTCTCAATTTATTATGATCAATCATGACATGAGGTGATTAATTAGAACTAGGAACCATAATTCTTTTCTTTGGCCCGGTCAAAAAAAAAAAAAAAAAATTCAGTACAGAAGGTAAATGCCAAGTCCATTTAACTAAATTCTACTTCATTGTTTTGTTTAGTTGTATGGACAAACAAAAACGCGTCAGTGGAGGGACCATTGAAGAACATGACGGGTATAATCCGGTAAAGTTTCAATGGATTTTGACTCTGTCCATATATGTTTGTTTGCATATAGCCTGCCAGTTGGCTTATTAATCTTACTGTTGCATACGTTTATGCGGTGACGGATCATGGCAGCATTCTCGCATGCAGGGCCTGATTTTGTGTTGGATTTGGTTTACCCCATCCATGAAGAAACCAAAAACGATTGTATCTGTAAAACACTTGTGCAAAAGAAAAAAATAGGAATCAGTACTTCCTTGTCTGATTTCAATTACAAATTGTTAGTTTGGTGAGCAGTTTCCCTCAAAAGTCAGGAAAAAGTGCATTTTAGCAATAGATTTTTAGGGTATACAATCGAGGAGGTGAACTGTCCAGCATGAACAAACACAGCTTGCTATCTTGCATCTAATCTATGGTTTTGCAGCTGAACTTTTATAATTATTTTTTTTATTCATAGGCAATGATTCAAATGATGAAATTTGTGGTTTGATTTAGCTCGTTTGCTATTGGCTGCTTATCTTTTGTCCTTTCTTTTTATGCGGTCAATGTTCTTCTATTGTACTTACAATTTCCAAATGAAACCGTGTTCGCACCAAGTGTATACATGGAATATCGTAAAATTGAAAAGGAAACCCATGAATGAAATATGCATGTAAAAGTGATCATTTTTACATCCCATGTGCTTTTCATGACTTTTCTTCTGCTGTTACTAACAAAATTTTGGTCAATACTGCATAAGTTGAAGTCCTCTCCTCTGGAATTCTGGGTTTACACCTGTTTCTATTTCCATCACATAATAGTCTGCTTCACTAAGGTTCCTCTCATCACTAGTCAGTGCTCAGTAGTCACATACAATTAAAATCATACCTATTTTCTAATTCCAACATAAGCTGGTTAATCAAGTTTCTGTCATCGACAGCTCTCTCTCTACTTTTTGACTCAAAACAGGAAGGCCATGGAACAATGATTAGAGACATAATCCTGTGATTATACATATTTGGTCCGTTATCGAGTGAGTTAATTTATTTTATTAACATGTCACATGCATGCAGCTGCAGATCAGATCCAATTCTCAAATTAATCTCATAACTGGCCATATTTTGTTTTTTGATTAATTGTCACAATCCTCTTTTAAAATGATTGGATATACATAAGACGATTTTTTTTTTCTATTTTGGTACTTAGACCATAGCATTTAAATTTTAATTATTGAAATTAAAAATATAATGGTCTATCAACATATTATGTGATCACGTAATTTTTTGCAAAAATGAGTTTTTTGGAGACATGTAAATAGTTCCTAGTATATCTTTTTACTAAAATGGAATTGTTGAGTTTGAATATTCTTCCTTTCCCTTTCAAATTAATGGTCAAAGGATATGCATAAAAAAACATGGTCCAATGGCTGGAGACACTCCTTCGAAAGAGTTGTTCATCCTTGACTTGTTCTTAATTCTCATGGTTGTTAGACAAGCAGCCAAAGCAGTCTCGCTAGCTTAGTTTGATAAGCTTCAATTGACTACTGCTGGACTGACCATAGGCCTTAGCAAGGTTGAGCCTCTGGCACATTGAAATTGACTCGTAAAGAAACGGAGTCCAAATGAAAAATCAAATATGCTTCTACCCTTTTTGAATGTCATTTTCTAGGAGCCAAAAGACTAATAATTTGAGAAGGATTCCCTCAAGTTTCAAATTGGAAATTGTCTCAAACACCTAACGACTTCAGGAAAAATGAGAATGTTGTACGTTTTGAATGACTTGTGAAAGTGTTCTGCCTCTTTTAAACTCAATATCATGATGGCTAGTCAACTTTTAAGTTTGGGAAATCCATGTGCTCCAATCGCATTGGCTAGATTAGGTCAAGTCCAATGACCAAAGCTGGAAATTGAGGACCATGAATATTGCAATTCCTTGGTGGTAGACATTTTCGCTTTCATGAAAGGAACTAGTTTGTGCAGTTTGGCAATATTATTGACTGTCGATATTCAATCATAACATATTTATATGTGCCATGGACAAGACCATATCTTACATCTTGTCATGGGAAAGAATTATGTCCAAAGATTGTTTCCACCCTTTTTGCCACTGCCATTGGCTCACTCAATCTTCTTGGTCAAAAATTCATTTTTCTTTTTCTAAGTACTTAGCCATGAGCTTCACCACAGGCCCATTTTCTACTTAGTTTTGTTTTAAAGTCTACCAGGAGGCCTTTTTTTACTCAAGGTATGGATGGTATTGGTCTGTACAGATATTGTAATTAAATAAAAATCTATCAACAGGTATGCTAGAAAAAGGATTTTGGGAGAGAAGAGAATTCACAAAATCTTGGCACCTCCATTAGTTGATGAAGTGAGAGACATTTTCTTCTTTCTTAAATGAATAATAAAAAAAGGTTTTTGTAATTAATATAAGGGATATATTAAAAGTGTTTTAGATACACTGGTTTTTCAATTTAAAGCATGAGTGAAATTTTATCGAATATAATCAAATAGACTATTATATGTATGTATGCAATGACAGGACGGGATATATAATATAAAGTTAAAACGCCAAAATTCATGATAGGGCTTCAAACCCACCTATGAAAAGTTTGGGAGCCACCTATTTTTGTAAGTTAGAAGCTAAAACCATTAATATTAACGTTGGCTGTGCTTAGTCTTGGAAGACATATATGGTGTCCACGTGAAATGGATAGAAATTAGAAGAAAGTTGGAACCAAGCAACAACACATGTTGCTTCAGGCTTTACTTGATCAGCCAAGTATGCATTCAATTAACACCATCTGGTCTGCATGAGAGTCATTTTGCAAAAGGATAATAATAAAGTTGAAGAAGGCACCAAGACCCATTTCCACCGGCCTATAACTTCAACTTTCTTTACGAAAATAAATCAAAAGATTATTCAATTAATGCACACCCGTTAGATCGTAGTATGATTATAAAAAAAAAAAAAATTGTCGTTCATATAACTTAGGATACAAGAAAAGAAAAGTACTGATGAGATTTCATATTTTCTTTTACATTGAGAAGATTGAAAAATTATATGTCCTCCTTAGGGATTTTCTATCTATGAAAAGAAAAACCCTTAAAAAGGAGATTTATATAATTAAACATAAAATCATTTATTTGATAAAAAATACATCATTTAAAGTTACAACTACAACAACTTAAAATTTAATTTTGTAGTAAAAAACCATATGATTTGTTGTTAAAATATTAAAAATTTAATTTTAATAATCAAAATTCAATTTTTGATAATTTGAAATAGAAAAAAATTTTAATTTTGTATAAAAAACGAGAATTTTGTAGAGCAAAAAGAAAAGAGCGCAATGCACATTGAGCCCAACAGACCATAAACTAAAGTTATTAGCTCCAGTAGCCACTAATGGACTATTTGATCCATTCGAACTTTTGGCCCAAAACAAGAGTTAAGGAAACAGCGTGGCTGTCTTCTGGGTTGTGGCACAAAACGGTCGATTCTTTCTTCAACCCAAATATCTATAATCTTCTTGCAGCTCTTATTTATTTTTGTGCTATATTAATGCATCATCTCCCGGAGCCTTGCTTCTTAATCCAAGCATAGCAGAGTGTCATTGAGGCATCCGTCCAACTAGCCCAAGGTGAGAGCTTTTATTTCATGACTATGGGGAGTGTTCAAATGTGTATCTTTAGTTTTGAAAGAAATGGAATTTACACCTCAGTTTATAGTCAGAAACCATTTTCTCCAAGTGGGTTCATGAATTGTTGGAGACCAACTTGTGGGGTTGCTTTATGGTCAAAGAATTCAAGCAACATGAAACGGAGGTTTGCTCTAAGAGTGGTTAATTCCGGTGGAGGGGTTCTTGAGAAAGAGTTCGAATTTAAGCCGTCTTTTGATGAGTATTTGAAGACTATGGAGTCTGTTAGGGAGAAGAAGCAATCTATGGAGTCTGTTAGGGAGAAGAAGCAATCTTTTGATTCAAACAGAGGCAATTCCAGTGAAAGATTAAATAGAGGCAAGTTAAAGGATGATTCAAAGGAGAAGCAATCTATGGAGTCTGTTAGGGAGAAGAACCAATCTTTTAAATCAAACAGAGGCAATTCCAGTGAAAGATTAAATAGAGGCAAGTCGAAGGATGATTCAAAGAGAAATTTTGGGGAGGAGAAAAAAATGTCCAAAATTGTTGAACACAATGAAGTAAAAATGAAGAGTAAAGGAGCTACCAGAACTAGAAGCCAAAAGGCATTGCTTCTAAAAGGTGAAGATGCTGATTTGAAGGTGAAGGAGAGAGATGAGTACAAGAATTTTGAAGAACCCAGTGATGAAGTAGATAAGCCACAAGTTTCACGAATGGGAATAGAAGAGAGAAGAAAAAGGTTAGCCAAGTTGTAAGCACTCTATATTATCTTTTCTTCTACTAGTCTTCTCTCTCTCTCTCTCTCTCTATATATATATATATATATATATATATATATTGTTTTGTGTTCCAATAACAACATTGTTTATATGAAATAGAGACAAATATGATTCAAAATTTAAAAGTGATAAAGAGAATGTGAAGTTGGTGAAGTTTGGGGAGTTTCCAGAGGAAGTCAAGATGTCCAAAATGGGTAAATACAATGAAGTAAACACGAATTTCGAAGGAGTTAGAAGAAATAGAAGTAGAAAGGCATTTCTTGAAGAAGATAAAGATAAGGATTTGAAGATAGAAAGAGCTGCCTTCAAGAACTTTGAACAATCCAATGATATTGTTGATAAACCACCAATTTCAAAGATGGAAATGGAGGAGAGAGTTCTAAAATTAGCAAAGTCGTATGTACTCTATAGCCCTTTCTCTTCTTATCTGTAAGTTTCCTTTATTATGTTTGCAATTTGGTGATGTTACTTATATGAAATTATGATCAATCTCTTACAATCACAGGAGCTAGTGTAAGCTACATCTCTGTTTTTAGTTATCAATCTCGATTTTAACATTGCAAATTTGCCTATTTTTTGTTGAACTAATTTTTGTCCATCATTTATAGCATCTGTTGATTTGAATTGATTAAATGGCTTAATTGGAGCAAAATAGTTTTTAGACAAGGGTAGAGCTGTTTATATTTGCTTCAATTGTGTAAATACAGTTTTGGATTTATTTAAGTTTTTCTTTTAATAGGAGAAAAGTTGATATCTGAAGTTAAAAACATGCCAAAGAAATCTCATTTGCTTTCAGTGACTATTTCTGAAATCTTGATTGTTAACCCTTTTTGTTGTGCCTAGAATATATCTTAGTGAATGTCATTTGTCATCGGTTATACCATTTCCATTTTTTTCTTCTGTTAATTACCAGTTTGTATATTTTGTATCTTGGTCAGGTTTTGTAATGATCTCATTCATCTTGAAGTAGTTCACTTTTGACAGGTTGAATGGTGCAGACATTGATATGCCTGAGTGGATGTTTTCTAAGATGATGCAGAGTGCAAAAATAAAATTTACAGACTATTGGATATTAAGGGTGATCCAGATATTGGGTAAACTAGGGAATTGGAGGATGGTACTTCAAGTCATCGAGTGGCTTGAAAAGCGTGAGCGCTTCAAATCTCACAAGCTCAGGTGTTCTCCCTCCCCCAGCTCCCTTATTTTCTGTTATACATAAGCTTATATCTTTATCATCAGTTTTATGCTCTACAAAGATTTGAATAAAAAAAAAGTGTGTAAAAGTTCTTTGTAATTTTGAAAATTTGAATCTTCATTGTGTTCCAAATTACTTCCAAATACCATAGTAGCAGTTTTTTTTTTCCCTACATTTGCTCAAACACTGTAACATATTGAACTTGTTAGATTTAGAGTAGTTATAAATGTCTACATTTACTCAAGAGGAAAATTTAGCATTTTACTCTTTCTAAAGCATATATTGTACTTGCATAAGGTTTGCCGGGTAATCTTTATTTATAAGAAGAGAGACTAAAATCCTGGTAACATCTTATAATAAACTTATGATCTTAGCATTCATGTCTTCAAATTATATATTAATTTGAAATATTTGATGTCCTTGTTTAAACTCCATTAGCATCACTAAGAGCTCAAGAATAATAAGGAAGCAAATTATGATGCATGAGAATGCTACATACTGAGAATACATGGAACTTATTTAAGAGTGTGTTTGGTATGGGATGATCCGTTTAAAAACCATTGTGATCTGCACTCAGTAATTACATTATCTTGTTGGGTAGCAATTTAGAAATCCTAAGTTGTAGTGATCTTAAATTATTGGGGTGATAAGGTCACTGCCTTTTCCCAACCTAAAGGATGGGAAAGTTTTATTACCATGGGAAAGTAATTTTCAGTATTATTTTTCGACTAATTTACCCTCATGAAAAATATAGTTAACATGACCCTGAAAAGCTAGCCACTAAAAATTTAAAAAACCGATGTTTTTAATTACTTATTCTAAAGAGGTTTTATGTTATAAACTTATATTGATTAGAAAAAAGATAATGAAGTTATTTAATAATTTTTTAGAAATTATTTTTATCAAAATTGATTTATACTTTGTAGTTTTCTATTAAATAATAGTTAACTATTTTATAAATTGTTGATTTAATAAGTATTAAATGTTTTACTTTTCTTGTAAGGTTATTTTGGATATTTTGTATTATATTATTTATTGTTTTCATATAGTACCAAACACAATGATTTAAAACATTAGTAATTTATAATATTGTATCAAATATGGTAATCTAAAATCAATGGTGATCAAATCAATTTGGTGATCTTATCACCATGTTAATTAGATCACTGCAGTGATTTTGAAAATGATATCAAACGCTATCTAAAGGGAGTGCTATTTGTTCATTCTTTCTCTTCTAACTTCTACAAGTTGTGTGCTACCCCAAAATGCATTGCTTCTTGAGTTTTTTAGAAAACCATGGTTTCTAGTTTCAAAAGAAAAAAGAAAGAAAAAAAAAAAAGAAAACCATGGTGTATATGTCTTTTAATTACATATACCTTTATGCTGCAGACATATTTACACAGCTGCACTTAATGCACTCGGGAAAGCAAGGAGACCTGTGGAAGCTCTTAACATATTCCATTCAATGCAGGTAATATACTTCAATTCTCGTTTATGTGGCTCATGAAATGAACTTTCGTTTGATTGAAGGAGGAAAAAGTTTATTTGATACTGTTCTTTTTTCTCTCTCGATTTACTGTAGCAACAAATGGCTTCATATCCTGATATAGTCGCTTATCATTCCATTGCTGTCACACTTGGGCAAGCTGGCCATTTGAGGGAACTCTTTGATGTTATTGATAGCATGGGATCTCCTCCCAAGAAGAAATTCAAGACAGGGCCTCTTGGAAAGTGGGACCCAAGATTAGAGCCTGATATTGTGGTTTACAATGCGGTGAGTAATACATATTAGTATACCTAAATGCTATCATCTTCAAAAGTTGATTAGCTGTCTTTGGTTGATTTTATGCAGTACTATTGGTGCATATAAAGAATTGGTGCATATAAAGAATTTTCATATTTTTATTGTGTATGCAGGTCCTAAATGCTTGTGCTAGGCGGAAAGAGTGGGAGGGAGCATTTTGGGTTTTGCAGCAGCTAAAGCAACAACATTTACAACCTTCCACTTCAACATATGGACTTGTAATGGAGGTGACTAAAATTAGAAAACTTAATTTAATGACAGGTTCAGGTTTTTGTATTATCTTTTTAATTATAAAGTGATACAAATCATTTCAGCATTTTGGATGAGTGTGTACTTTTCTTAAGTTTCAAGTGGAAGTACCTTCAATGTTTCGAAGTTTCTTGAAGATAACATCAGATGACATCGAACTAATTTTGTCTTAAGAACTCTTACAAGCAAGCAAAAAAAATTGCGTTAAGAATAGCAGTGTTTTGTTGCAGGAATGGGTTTCTACCATGGGTTGTCATGGCTATATTTGCTAAGATCACAACGTTACAACAGTGACCTATCATGCCTGATGGGAAATGACTTCTCTGAAGTTTGTGATATGATGTTGTTAAATGGATTCTCTTTATGGATAAAATACTATGACTTTTTTTATTTGTGTAGGTGATGTTTGAATGTGGCAAATACAACTTGGTTCATGAGTTTTTCAGGAAAATTGAGAAATCTTCTATTCCAAATGCTTTGACATATAGAGGTATTTATTGTAATATATCCTTGTCAGAGTTCCATTAGCTATATGTTTTGAAAGTTGACTTTGGGTTATTTTCAGTTCTTGTAAATACCCTTTGGAAGGAGGGTAAGATACATGAGGCTGTATTGGCTGTTCAAGGTATGGAAAAACGAGGAATTGTAGGTTCTGCTGCTCTATATTACGACCTTGCTCGCTGTCTTTGTAGTGCTGGAAGGTGCCAGGAAGCACTGATGCAGGTGTTGCTTTTTTATGCTTAATTTGTTTAGCACATTTGTTTTTTCATGCTCGTTAGTATCGAAGCAATTTCATCTCAGGCCTCCCACATTTATTCTTGAAAAAGTTAATTATGAGTATTAGGTGCTTGAAGAAATTTAATTTAGTTCAGATCTGATTGCTACAAATATAATTTAAAATATGTCAAAAGTTTAGATGAGCTGAAAAGGATATTTAGAAATGTTGCCGGATCCTGAAATACATTGCTAAAAACTTGAGGAAGAATTCTTACATTGCAGAATTTTAGAGAGAAAAATTTACTCAGATGGTATTTTTGCAGGAAAATTGCAGATCATGTTATCTTATCTCTTAACTTTTGAACTGTTTGTGGCATGTCTGGTGATTCCTAATTCTATTTATGGCTAATGGAGCAGTTTCTACGGGAAGGAAGAAGGGTCTGGTTTTGATAGCTTTATGAAGTGTTATCATCATTTATACCTTATTAAAAGCATGATAGCAGGGGTTTGAGAGAGAGCAGAAGTTTTCACTTAATCTTAAGATGAAGTCTTTGAAATTCTATTTCTTCAGGAAAATCGTTGTGCACTAATGAGGTTTCTGTTTGTTGTGATATACTGCTGTATATGAGTTGTGAGGTATGCATAATTGAAGCATGTGAACTCAATTACTTGTATCAATGAGCGCTATATCTTAAAATGCTATTTATTATGTTTAAATTTCTATAGATACGTGAGCTTCAACCTACCTACAAGGCTACAATGAACATGCAATGAACTGTTAAGGTAATGTCTGTTATTCGAGCAGAACATTTGCTAATACATTGCTGCACTTTATCTTTTACAGATTGAGAAAATATGCAAGGTTGCTAATAAACCTCTGGTGGTAACTTATACTGGTTTAATTCAAGCATGTCTAGACTCTGGAAACATTCAAAATGGAGCATACATCTTCAATCAAATGCAAAATTTTTGTTCTCCAAATCTTGTCACTTGCAATATCATGCTAAAAGCTTATCTGGATCATGGATTATTTGATCAAGCCAAAGATCTCTTCCAGAAAATATCAGAAGATGCAAATCAAGCCAACAGTAAATCTGATTATTTGCATCGAGTGATACCTGATATTTATACATTCAATATCATGTTAGATGCATGCATTCAACACAGGAGGTGGGATGAGTTTGAGCATGTCTATGGAAGGATGTTGCATCATGGATTTCACTTCAATGCAAAACGTCATCTCCGCATGATACTGGATGCAGCCAGAGGTGGAAAGGTATGTATAGAGAACCTGTCCATAAAAAGAAAGTCACAAACAACCTTGCTTTAATATTTTCCCGAGGGTGAGCTACGTTACACTGTGGAGAGTTTTCTGCACTTGCTGGAGTTTCATGCCAAAATAAAATTTTCTATGCAGATAGTATTTAGAAATAATTTTCCAATGAGCTCTTTGTGAGTAGGCTATTGAGACCTGTTAATATTTTCAGAAGGAGCTATTGGAAACAACTTGGGAGCACATGGCAAGGATTGGTAGGACCCCTCCTCTGCCTCTGATCAAAGAAAGGTTTTGCATGAAGCTGGAGAAAAATGACTACGTTTCTGCTGTTTCATGTATTATCATCCATCCTTCGAGTGAGTTACAGGGATTCTCCGAGTCAGCGTGGTTTAACTTATTCAAGAACAATGCCTCTCGTTTCCAGCAGGAAATGATTGTTGGATTAGTTGATGAGGTGGAGAAGATTCTCGGCAGAACTGACTCGCCAAACCCAGTTCTGCGGAATCTTTTAACATCTTCTAAAGAATTTTTGAGTACTCATCTGATATCTGCTGACATCAATCTCACAGAAACTGTTTGTACGGTTGAATGTAGTAACAATTTTTTAAAATCTTGATCAAGTATGCCTTTTTTTTATTTTATTTTTTGATTGTTATACCAGTACTAATTTCATTATTTTTCGATTTATATGGCTTCTTATTGACATTTGAAGAAATCAATATAAATGCAAGACATGAGGGAAAGAATGTATTAATGTTGTGATATGTTTTAAGAAAATAAAATTTTACTAGTGATTTAAGAATTTCAAAATAATCAATACTTTCATGTATATAATTTCATAACTTTCGCAGACAGGACAATTTGATAAGTTTTATAATAACATAAGGATTAAATTAAAAAAATATAATTTATGTTTATAAAATGTGTAAGTAGGTTTGTACCTGAACTTATTTATAAGTCAATTGGATTCCATTGATTTTATTGATTTTTCAAAAGGTTTGTTTAAGATTGGACTTGGATATAAAGGTTTGAAATTTTTATAAAAATATATATTCAAAATATTAGTAATTTAAAATATATTTTAAAAGTCTAAAATCAGATTCGGGTCAGACCCACAAAGCGGATGAGTACTGTGGGCAGATCTTCAAAATTTTTTCACCAAAAGAAACAGATATTAAAAAGAATTAAAATATATATAAAGGAAATTGTAAACTAATATAACCTTTAATAGATTGCAATCGCAATTTTCCATCTTATAAACAACAAAACCGCTAAAAGCCTCTCAAACTCCAAACTCTCTCCTCGTTTTTCATTTTCGCGTTGTTCTCTTTTCTTGTCATTAAAACCAGACAAGAGAAAACCAACCCTTTGAATTTTTTTTTTTTCTAAAAGGTTATCCTCTGCTTCTTTTATTGTTTTCTCTGTAAGCATAATATTTGGAGAGATGGGCAACTGGAGAAATCGACCGCACCGAAGATTTTACCGACAAGATAGAGCTCCCAAATATCCCCCTTCCTATCATGACCCTGAACCTTCTCTATCTGGTACTACTACTCTTTTTTACATGCATATAACTTCACTTTACTGTTTTATAGTTCTTTCTATGCATATTATATTTGCAATATTTTTTTATGTGAATTTGCTTTTCTAGAATTGTGGTTTGTCTAGTATTCTTGTGAGTTTTACTTGAAATCTCCCTATCTTACGTTCAATGGTGGGGTTTTTTTTTTTTTTAAATAATCTTGAGATTTAAGATATTTGGGTTTTTATCTGAAATTTGTTTTCGGACGAATTTATGGATTTGGAGACAGTACAACAATTGTTACAGCATTGAATTAGTGTCATGCTTTAAAAGAAGGAAAGAATGAATAAAAAATTTAGATGGAAAAGAAAACTTTTTTAACAATTACATCGGCATATTGCATTAAACCAAAAATAGTTTTTGGAAGCGTATTCTTGGTATTAAAGGTACTAAACCTGTACGATCATGATTTACATATTTATTAATTGCTAGTTTTATTTTAACTTAAAATGCCATCTTTAGTGTATTTTATCAGAAAATTCTGTTGCATGGGCTTTACTTCCATCTTTTAACTTTTCCTTTCTGCTAACTACTATTCGCATTATCTAAGAATTAACACTTTTTTATTCAAGTAATCACAAATCATTGTATATATGTGTGTGTTTTATGTCATAATCAGAAATAATTATTAGTGTAATGGTGATCATGGGTGGTATCAATTGCTTGAGTTATAAAATGTAAATACACTTCTGTTACTGAATATTTTAAGTGGTTTTATCAAATAGTGAATGCTGAATTTTAAGACTGAAATTATCAAGTGAAAAGAGATGGTTTATATAAAAAATTTGCATGATTAAGGTTTTGGTTTTCGACAATTAATGTGGTTATTTTTCAACTCTCAAGAATTTAAATTAAAAAGCAGATCTTAAGTGTCCGCTATTTTCCATTGATATATTTTGATTTATTTCTTTGTTATTCAGTTAATGGCTATATCTACCTATCAAAATGTTAGGCATGCTATTTACCATTCTCATTATTGACTATATTATGTTTGCAAGGTGCGTGAATCTTTTCTAATTTTATTTTTCTCCACTTAGAGTTTTGCAATGATGGTGTGCCTATGTGGGAAAAGAAATTCTGCACTTTAGTTGGAAGAATATCATGGCGGAAGGTTGTTGATGCCAAAAAGTCCATTTGCTACAACAATGATGTACTAAATTGGGATGACTCAGCTGGAAAAGAAGCATTTCAAAATGCAAAAAAGCGCTATTTGGCAGAGATCAATGGCTTCTCCTGTAACATTTCTGCTCCTGATCCAAATGCTTATATTGATGAAATAAATTGGAATCCTTATATTGATCCTGAATTGATTAGGGACTTAGAACAAGAATACTTTGCTTCTATTGATGGAGAAAAAGATGGCAAGGTAGGACATGAAAACAAATTGGCAAGAAACCTTTTGTCTGCTCCCTCGGAAGGGTGTAACATGAACACTTGTAAGGTTGATAAGCCTTGGGAATGTAACAATGCTACTCAAGGTATTGATGGTTCAAAGGATCTTTTGGGTTGGGGCGGGTTGGTTACTAAAGTTGATGAGTCAATGAATTTAAATAGTAACAGAAATAATCCCTGGGAGAATAGCATTACTTATGGAAATGAAAGTGAAAAGCACAATTCATGGGGAGATTATGAGTCAAGGGATTGGAATACTGGCAATGATTCCTGCGGTCATGGTTGTCAAGGCATTGGCAATAGGAAGGATGATGGATGGAGAGACTTTAAACGGAATTCTTGGGGAAGGAGCCAGTGCGATTCTAAGAAGTTGTCTAACGGGGAATATGGCTTTGTTCAACTCAATGGAGCTCCAAATGATCACGGGTGGGGTGATTGTGGGAGAAATTCATGGGGTTGGAAGCTGAGGGAGAATCATAATTTTGGGTCAAGAAAGTTAGACTTCAGAAGAACTAGCAGCAGGTGGGGAGCATGGCCGAGTGGTTCAAGGAAGAGGGAAGGTTCTCACCAGTATATACCTGGTTACAAAAGGTCCAGGTTTCAACAGGATGATAATCAGACAAGTTATTGCTGAAGGAGTGCAAAACCTAAACAAGAAGGTTAGCTTTGCGCTTGAGTGGCCAATGTTACTGATTTCGTGTTCTGAATATTATGAGATTCTCTGTCCATCAAGCCCTTAATATCTTTTACTTCATTTATTGGCTCATAAGCAGGAATGGTGGTTCACTTTTGTGCAATTTATTCAACAGCATAACAGAAAATAGTGAACCTTCCCTGAGTTTTAGAAGAGAGTGGAGAGTTCATATGTGTACCATTTGTTCAATTTAGATGGCTTTGTTTTTGTCTGTGATTATGTCCTTGAGATAAGATCAGCATATAGCATTCTATTTTGTTATTAATTTACTGGTCCTATAACGGTGCTATTTTGTTATCATTATGTGTTCTTCTCACATTCTTAATCCCTTGATTTGATTGGGAACTTGCAAAATTGCTGCTACCTAGTTTGGTTAATCTTTGTCTTGGACCCTAGATAATACGCTTGATTCCATCAATTATTTAGAAAATAAAATTGTCCATATTTCTAAGCAAGCAACATTAAAAGGGAATTAATCACTGCATCTAGTTTTCCCCAAGAACATTATTACATACCTCTGGTCATTTTGTCTATTGGTACATACAAATGGCACTTCTAAGCATAATTATACTTGGTGCAGTTTTTTGTTAGTGAAATCAAATTGGAGGAGGCAGCAGTTTACACTACACGTATGCCAAAATTTCAGACCTGACATCTAGACGTTATAGGCAAGGCTGCAAACCTACCAAGGAAGATGTCAAAAGATGCTTCATTTTGGAATTTGATAGAGCTGTAAGTTCAGTACCTTCTGTTTTTCTTCTGTTCTTGTTTATCGTGATATCTTTACTAATGCTATTAATGAGCAGTAAGTATTGGAGTATGGAAATACAACAAACTATTAAGGCACTAAACCTTGGGAGATATGAACTAGATATTTACCACAGTGAGATAAAGACCTTTTGTATTATTTTATCTTTTTTTTTTTTGGAGAAATTTGGAGAGCCTAAAATTAAAGGGTATGACCATTAAGGACATGGATTAGGTAGCGAGAAGCATTTAAGATCACTGATAAATAGGTGAGCAATATTCCACCTAATGTTTGATAAGAGCCCTGAGCAATTTATAAGGCAATATGATGATCCATCTATTTTGTGGTTAATAGTCTTGTGAGGTGGTCAGTGGACAACCAAGTGTTATATGGTATGAGTGACCTCCATCTTGGTTCTTGATTTAATCGAATCCTGAGTCTCCCAGTTGTGTCTCTTTTCCTCTTGTTCTGAGAAAATGGACTAGATATTGCAAAGTGAATTTGTTAGCTTGTGGTTGGATTGCTCTCTGATGTATAGTTGTGCTAGGTATGATTGCTTGTTTTGGATATAATTTCCTTCTTACTGTTGTGTAATTTTCTATGTAAAATGTTATTGTTGGAAGCATTTATATTAGCTTCAACTGCAAAAGAAATAGAAATGGTTAACTGATATTTACATAATGTAGGCTTTTAAGTTTAAAAAAAAATGAATTTTGGGTTTTTTTAGGGGGAAGGGAACTTTAATTTGGTTTGTGGATGTGCTGTTGTAAAACTATTGGCTTTTGGTTTTTGTAGGTATCTTGAACATGTTGCATGAGGTAAAAAAGACCTAAGAATGAAACTTCTATTTACTCCAATGTTACAGATAATTATTAGCATTTTTGAAAATAGGAAATCACAGGTTGTAGACACCTATTTTGTTCGAAAAAAAATCAAGTGTTATTTCGAAATAAGTTTGAATTCATTTTCAATTTTACTCTCATCATTTGAGTATTCTATTAGGTCTTGGATTGCTTATTGGGCCCAATTAGGTTTTAACTTAAATATAATTTATTTTTAGGTTTATTTATTTTTATTTTCCTATTTTTTCTTCTTCTTCTTTTTCTTTTCTTTTATGGTTTTCTTGAAAGTCTTTAGTGCATTTGATTCATCGGCAGCCATCCTGCTAGACCTTGTGGAAACTCCAAGTCCAAAATTTCAATGGAGACAAAAGTCACCGGCAGTCACTCAAATTTCTTCAAATCCCATTTCTTAGGATTTTGATTCTCCAATGGCTTTATGAATCGAGCCTTGCAATTGCAAAAAAAAAAAAAAAAAGTGGGGGGGAATAATCGCCCATCGTCATTGCCAAATCCATTCCTACCACTTAGCCACCATCACACATCAGCCCCACCACCAGTAAAAAGCCAAAAAAATCTTCTCACCAGCAAGCAGAACCTACACTTTCGAGACCCTAAAAGCAAATCCTTGTTTAGAAAACTCTCTTCAACACCCAAAAAATCACTTGCTAAAATATCAAAATCCCTTAACCTTCGGCAAGCCTTGGGCCATTGCCAATCACACTCATCATAGCCAATATCTTATCACCAAAACTGCCAAAAAAAAAAAATCACACTACCCAAAACCCACCATAGGCCAAACAACAAAAAATATTAAAAAAAAATGAACATATCCTTAGGAAGGGAGTAGCAACGTTAGAAAAAAAAACAAAAAAAATTTTTTGATCACTTGCAAAGGAGGTCTAGGTTGTTTAGGGTCATTTTTTGTAAATATAGAGGTCGGATCAGTGTTTAGGGGTTGAAACGAGTCTAGGTGGCGAACGTAATCTCGGACGGATGTTGTGGGAGTATTACAATCTTTCCCAGGCACAATTATACTCTTGAACATAATCTTGATTTTGTAAACCAAAAGATAGGATTGGTCACGAATCATATCTTAACAAGAAAGATTAGTGGCAACCCTTGACTTTTATGTCTAGTGATAGAGATTCTGGAACTATACATTATGATAACTTGGCAATTCCACTGGGGACAAGAGAGTTGAACCATAATTTTATATGATTCTAGCTCTTGGTTGAATAGGCTAGTTTTCATTATTAATTCATTTTATTGATTTATTTGTTTGATTACTTCCTTATTTGTTTATTTGTTTAAGAGGTTTTCAAGAATTTGTTTCTTTACACACTATATGTGTAGATCATAACATAAGCTTTAGACTTGGCTTTGTCCTTTTTAGAATGAGGTAGAGTACATATGCTCTTATGAGGTGTTAACTTCTGCAATGGCTAGTGAAATACTCAATTAAATTAAAGTTTTTTCATTTGTAGCTTATCATAGATAGGGGTGTAATTGATCAAGCTCAAGCTGATACAACATTAAGCTCGAGCTGATACAACATTAAGCTCGAGCTGATACAACATTAAGCTCGAGCTCGACTTTAAATTCAATGCTTGAAGCTCGACCTCGATCAAGTTTTTGTTTTTTTTTTTAGCTAGAGCTTAACTTGAGATAGAAATCGAATTACTTGAGTTCGCTTGATTAACATGAAAAAATTAGCTCGATTTAACATGAAAAAGTTAAATTGCTCAAGCTTAAGCTTGAACTTGAATGTGAGATATTTTATTAATTAAAATAATTAAAATATATTAAAATATAAAAGCTTAATTAGGCTCACAAATTACTTGAGTTAGGTATAAGAATGCTCGAACTCGATTCGATCAATGAGTCCTGCATAGGTTTATTCGAGTTTTATTTGAGTTGAATCTAAGTAGCTTACGAGTACTAATATATCATTTACACCCTTAATCATAGGTGAATATTAGGATGCCTTATTAGTCCTGCATGCATGACAGTGATGAATAATTTGAGAGCCTTTAGCTTGTCATCCTAACTAAGCGTATAAGTAATCTAGGAAGCTTAGTTTAGAATAAAGCCATGACCACCTATTATTTAGGATTATCCCAAACATATAAGGACATATAAAAGACCATGCTATTGTTGTAAATATTTATTTAGAATACAGAAAATGTGGAGAATCATATGTCTTATTATTTATCTCATGCATCGTCACATTTTCATTTAAGGAGTGGTTTACCACATACCAATTTTGATGAAACGAATCTTGGTTTACATCTATGGAAAGCTGAAATCAATTTTAATCTGTACCAATCCAACATGATGCTTTGAAAATTATATTAAAAGAAACAAAATGTCAAGAAGGAGATCGGTAGATTATGTTTCCACTTTTCATAAGAAGGTTCATTTTAATTTCAAGCAAAACAACTTTATCGATTAGATTTTGATTTTGAAGCAATGGAATAGCACTATACGAGAAAAATTTCAAGAAAGATATGGAGACTTAGCATTACTTCTTTCGATAAAGGTGGATGAACAACTTATTAAAGCCATGATGTGGTTTTATAATCTTTCATACATACGCTTTGTGTTCAATGAGGTGGATATGGTGCCCATTATTGAGGAGTATTCCACGTCGTTTCGTCTATACCTTTTATGTCTTAACAAAGTTTATTAATGAAGCAAGAGTATAGGTTATTGTAAAAAGCTTGTCGTGACAATGAAAATTAGTGTGGAATAGGTTGACAAGCATATTAAAGGAAAAAGATGAGAAAGCATATATTCCTTGAGATTTCTTGCATAGCCATTTCATCAAAACTATATATGATGAGTAGTGTAGGATTGTTTACTTTAGTTGTATATAGGATGGTGATATTCTTAAAAGAAATTGGATATATAGATGTGGTAGTGGTGGATTTCTTAAAGTAAGTTGAGAGTAAAGATAATTTGATGCTAGTTGTTTTAGCAAAAACTATTAGATCTTTGAATTTTTGTTGACGAGAAGCAAAAGGTCATTTTGTAAGGTGCATGTAACTTTTATCTATGGATAAAAAGTCACTTCAAAACCAAAGAGGACAAATTTCATAACCATAACTTGGATCTAGCATTCCTTTTAAGGAATTTTATGAGATCAAATGGCCAGAATTGAAGTTTGAAAAATAATGGATCTTCTATTTACAAAATTTGACGAGCCAAAAAGTAGTGTGGAGAGCACTCTAGATGTCATATGATTCAATACTTCACAGTTATAGAGACAAATCTTGGGTTCCACTTGTAGGCCTTTAGGGTGCAATCACTTATTTCCCGCTTATGGTATTGAGGCAATTTGGATATAAATAGTTTGTTCTAATGACACATGGACTTAATTAGTTATACTTTGCATACAATGAACCATATTCCATAAAGATGGTAGGAAATATTCTCTAAGCATAGAAACAAACAAAAAGAATGGATTAAAGCAAGCGTATTGATAAGATCAGCCTAAAATATTCTGTGTGGCACGTTAAATGGGTGAAAGACATTATGGTTCCAGATGAAAGTAGTCCAAGCAGCCCATGTAGTTCAATTCTTTCAAAGTTTTCGGATTTGTTGCTAGAGGTAAAAGTTGCAAAATGAAAGTTACAACAAGAAAAAGAAGAATTGGAACATGAAAACAAAAGGCTCAAAAAAGAAATAGAGGGAAGTTTGCAGTGGCAAGATAGAAAAATTTAGAAGTTTAGTCAGGATGAAGATGGATGGAAGAATTTGTTCGTTGATCTAAACAAGACACTTTCATCGACAACTTCTAAATTAGTTGGACTTTTAAAACATAAGTAGTTGTATGCAAAAATACAAAAAAGGAAAATACATTCTCAAAGGTTCAAAGGTATAATCGGATGCTTCAAGAAATTGTCAATAAGGTTAGAGTTCAAGTTTTTATTCTAGAAGAAAAGTGTAAAAAATGCCTTAATAGAGGGAAACAATGGAAGAGTGCATACATGGCAAAACAAGATCATTTGAAGTATTTGTTTGGACAAATAAATATTGCTTCATGTAAGGCGACAAAAATAAAAGATAGGGTCAAGGCGTTAAAGGTAGAAGTACAATCTGTTGGAATGTATGGCCTGACTCTACTAAAATTCCTTGATAAGGTGCAAGATCAATATCATGAGATAAATAATTTCCTTTGATAGGCAATAGACTTTAAGCTTTTATGGATGTAACTTTGGATTTGTAATAAGAATCATTTGTTATTAGTGTATGTGCGGCAAATGCTTTTTAATGCATATTGTTCATTTTTATCTATTCTTCATTCATGCATTCATTCATACATTTATTTGAATAAGGCATCAAAATATAATATCCTAATTCACAATAATTGTGGTAATAAAAGTTCAAGAATAGGTCACTCATTGAAAATTGACTCAGCTTACTCGCCATTAACAGTAGCTCTTGAATAAGGATCATGGAATAAGAATAAATTAGTTGATTTGAGAAAATAAAAAAAGCAAAAAAAAAATTAAAAAGGGATTTTAACAAGATAATGAAAACACTCAAGAATTTAGATAGAGCAAAAATGGTACAAAAAGGTCTTCGCTTACAAGACCAGTTACAAAACATCATGGATCTTTTAAACCCATAGGGTTTGAGCTTTAAAACCCCAAACTTCTCAAGGGGCTAAGGTGTAAATTCTTATTATCAAAAGATGTCCGTGTATTTATTTAGGAATGACATACTTACCTGTCCTAGGACAATTTTATAAAATTTCACTAATTTGATTTTTGTAGAGAAATCATTTGAGCAAATCCTGATTCCTAATTTGGATGATCCTAAGAAGAAATAAAAGTTGGGAATGAAAGCATTTGAGATAGTGGAGGATACAGGTTCTAAGTGGAAGATGAAATGGTTAGAAGAAATACTAAGAGCTATAGAAAGAATGGATTTTTATAGCTCTTTGAATGTAGTTGAGCTTTGTTTGGCCTCAGACATGATCATCTTGCCTAAACTTAAAGTTCTTGAGTTTAAAAAATATAATGACACAAAATGCTTAGTGACCCATATGACTATGTATTGTTGTAAGATGGTTATGCATGCCTATGATGAAAAGCTATTGATCATGTATTCAAGATAGCTTTATGGGTTCTGCAGCTAGATGGTATATTCCACTATATAGGACTTGTATCTATTTGTGAAAAGAGCTTAGAGGGCATTTATTTCTCGACATCAACATGTTGTAAATCTAGTTTCAAATCGTTTGTCCCTGCAGAGTATGAAAAAAAAGCAATTGAGAGTTTAAGGAATACGCGTAAAAACGAAGAGATGTGGTTGTACAATACAGTTTCCTCTCATAAAAAAAAATTGTTGTTCTATTTGTCAACACTTCGAAAGCTTCGTATTATGAAAGAATGATTAGAAACGCAACCAATAACTTTACAGACATGGTGATTTCAAGTGAGATCATTGAGAATGTCATAAAAAATGGCAAGCGTAATACAAGAGAGATGATTGGTGCAAACAGAGGTGAAGTATTCAAAAAGAAAGAAAGTGAAGCCCAAGTAATGCATTATGAGGGGCAATAGATTAGAAGGTTTACTGCATTGATGTGCTAAATCGATTATCCCTCCATAAACAATGTGATATCCATCCTTCACCAGTATAAGCCAGTACAATAATCAACTTATCTACCTTTTTGTAGTAATATTTTCAAGCACCCATTTATAAGTACAATTACTTTGTCGTAGCTATTGCTAGACCAGAATGAAGACCCAACCAAGGTGGTGGCCTAAAAGCACCTAAAAATAATCAAGGGAAGATTTTCTTTTATTTTATCCTCATGACATACATCGACTTGTTTTCTCAGCTTGTTAAAAATCATTTGTTAGCCCATATTCATTTTGAACCATAGAAATTTTTGTATCCCAAATGATATGATCCCAATGCACATTGTAATTATCAATATGGAAATACATGTCATTTTACGAATAATTACATTACTTTAACTCATAAGGTGCAAGGGTTAATCAAAGCCGAATTGTTAAACTTCGACGCTAACAAGCGAAAAACTTTAAATCTTAGTGAAAATCCTCTACCAAATCATATTGAAACAACAATAAATGCTTTGATTGATGGCTTGACGTGTTATGTTAAAAGAATGATAGATAAAGTCAAAACTTCAATGGCTAAAGTGTTTGAAGCTTTGGTTAAGGCTAGTATGTTGGGACTAGTAAAGCCTTACAATTCCCATATGATGATTGACCTGTTCGATAGTTGCAATTATCATAAGGTTGTTTTAGGCCATTTTGTTGAGAGTTGTGATCAATTTCGTGGGAAGGTGTAAAGGTTGATGGACATGGGATAGATAGAATTCTTTGAAGAGAAAGAAGATTTGACAAAAGTTGAGTTGTCTAACATTAACGTGCTAGCGAAATTTATGCATAGATCGGTGACCATCTATTATGATGAGAAGCCAATCCCAATATTGAAAAAACTTATCTGCTGACCAGTTGTGACTATTAGTGGACTTAACCATTTTTCATACTTGAGTGACAAGTTAATGTCATGAAAGTATGATTGTGATATTATGGCCAATCTAGATACCATAAGCATAACGAGTGTAGGATGTATGATTGGAGTGGGCAATGTTATATTTGAAAATGCTCGAGAAAGCTAGGAAAGAGAAAGCAAAAGTCGAAAAGTAAGAAAAAAGTTAGAATAGCCGTATGGAGTCCCTGATAAAGAATACCAAAAATAAATCTCTGAAAATGAACTTTGTGAATTTTTGAAGTTGATAAAGCATAGTGAATATAGCATGGTAGAATAGTTGAATAAGATATCAACTAGAATTTCACTATTTTCACTTTTGTTAAGTTTATAATTACACAAAAGGCTTTACTAAAAGTATTAAGCTAGATGTGTATCCTATAATGTATCTAATGAGTATGTGGAACCTCTTGTTGGTAATTTGGTAGTATCAAACGACATATCTTTTAGCAATGATGAGATTTTTCTAAAGGGTCAAAAGAAGCACCAAGACTCTTCATACTATGGCCAAAGTCTTAATTGACATATGGCTTTTCAATTAATGTCATTGTTATGATTGTTGGTAAGACTACATGTTGATTTATCTTACATGAAGCCAGCCATATGGTTGTTTAGGCTTGCAATAGACTCAACAAGAGGTGCTAGAGGATATAAAAATGCCTTTGTAAATTAGTCTTTGCACTTTTAATGTAAAATTTCAAGTTATGGATATCTCGTTATCGTATAATTGCTTGTTGGCTAGCCTATGGATTCATATGATAGATGTTTCATCTTTGTTTCATTAGAAAGTTAAATTTATTATTGATGGAAAGTTTACATGCATAGTAGGAGAATAAGATTTACTAATAGCCCAGCCTATGAATACTCTTCATGTGAACGCTGTAGATGAGGCTTTGGAATACCCTTATAGGTATTTTGAGATTTTCAATGCCACTTACATGGTTGAAGGATCCAAATTATATTGACTGCATTTGTTTATGAATATAGAAATGGTCGTTAAATAGCTTAATGGAATAGGATGGCAACCTGGAATCGAACATGGACATAATTTACAAAGGATCATGAAGTTGTCGGCAATATATAATAAGAAAGATAGATTTGGCTTGGGTTATAAACAAACAAGAGGAGATAGAATGAAAATGATGAATGAAAAGAAAGAAAAAAGGATGGTTAATCTCAAAGGATATAAGCCAAAGTCAGAACTGATGGTTATCTTATACCTTTATGACTATTTTCCATCAACAAGATGTATTTATTTGGATTCACTTGAAGCCCCAAATGCAAAATGCAATCGCATATTTCTTTTATGATTGGTTAGTTATCCCATACATTTATGATTGGTTAGTTATTTATCATCATTGGATTCACTTGAAGCTCCAAATGCAAAATGCAATCACATATTTCTTTTATGATTGGTTAGTTATTTATCCTATGCCTCTATGATTGGTTAGTTATTTATCATCATTGTAATTTCAAGACAAACAAAATACAATTACATGTTTCTTCTGTTCATTTGTAGGATGGACAAAGAGGACAAATAAGATGAAAGAATGGATATGTATTATTTTTATTTTTCAAAGAAGAGAAACATATTTCATCAAACAGGTAATAAACCATAGCAATAAAAAGACTAGGTGTTTGGGTGGCATAAAAACACCAAAAAAATTATAACAAAATAATAATGAACCAATCATTCTTGGATTCTTTTTTCAAAACTCAACCAGATGGTATTTTTTATCTTTTAAAGCTCATTAAACCACATTTGCTCCTATGTTGTGAGGCCATTACATGAGGTTGCTTCCTTGTATACCTAAGCCACTTTTTTAGGTTTTTAACTTGGATATATATATTTTAATTTTCTTTTTGTTTCAAGTAAAATATTTTTTCACAACATTTGAGTTTACTGGATGAGACAAATAATTTTCGTCCATTTATACTAATATTAATGCCTTACCTAAGAAACTTTTTTCACAACATATGGATCTTTTCAATTTGGTGTCAATTTTCTTCGATTATCGTGTTGATTTGGAAGTATCTTATTTAGAACTAAGTCTCCTCAAAAGTAGTGAGGGTGAATTTTCTTATCATGTATTTCATCATTCTCTTCAGATACAATTGATTAAGGAAAAGTGTTGTTAGTCTTTTATCTTTAAAGATGTTTAACTTTTAATAGCGATTTTAGACCTATTTTGCTTCTTCTAGCTTAACTTCAATTAAAATTTTTAATGGTGAAATTTTCACTTCAACTGGCAACATAGCTTCCATCTCATAAATCAACGAAAATGGGGTAGCCTTATAAGATGTTCGAACTGATGTTCTATAAGCATATAAGGTAAAAGATAACATATCATGTTAATTTGTAAGTGTCCATGATCTTTTCTAGTATCCTCTTAATATTCTTGTTTACAGCTTCTATTGTCTCATTCATCTTCGAATGATATGGTGTCAAATTATGATAATGGACCTTGAATTGAGTGCACACTTCATTTATCATTTTACTGTTTAAGTTTTTGGCATTGTTAAAAATAATCCTCTTCAGAAGTCTATATCTGTATATTATCTCCTTTATGAATTTGTAGACCATTAATTGAGTCACATTAGCATATGAGGTAGTTTTTACACATTTCATGAAATAATCAATTTTTACAAGATGAATCTATACCTATTTGAAGCTTTCAAGTTGATGGGATTGATGACACCCATACCTCACATAAAGAATGGCTATGGAAGTGCTAAGACATACAAAGCAAATAGATGTACGTGAATCTTATGCGCATAAATTTGACATTTGTGACATTTTCTAGCATAATTGATACCATAACAGTAAAATTCTTAATATTATTTCTAATCATTTTTTTTTTCATAATATAAGGCTTTGAGAGTATTGATAAATGGAATCGTACTCTTTTTTTCAATGAGCAGTGGTTAAACTTGGATAGTAGGATCCCTTCACCTCTAGTATATTTTTTAAAACTCTAAATATTTTTCTTTTTCATGTTGTGTAAAGTCAAATAGTCTAATGCCAGATTTATGATGAGCTTGTATTGGGCAATGAAAGCCCTTGCTAAATCTTTTCAGCCACGAATACAAGTCCTATCTAATTATGCATCCCATTTAGCAATAAAATCAGTGAAACTTTCTTAAAAGACATGGATGAGCAACTTTTTATCATGTGTATATGCAGCTATTTTACAATAGTATAATATGACATGTGTTATGGGCACTTGGTTCCATTATATTTATTAAATTTGAGCACCTTGAATTTTGGTGGAATCACGGCACCAAGAACTAAGCATAATCCAGTAGCATCCATTAATCCATAAAAATTTGTTTCTTCAATAGTTCTCAGCCTTTCTTATATACGATCCATCTTTTATTGTAATCCAAAGTCTTTTGTTTTGTTTCTATTATGCTTATTTTCAACTTCTCCTATTCTTTTGGTTCATCTATATTGGGAACTTAAGTTGGATCAAATCTTTTGACACTTTCTTGCACATTTGATTGCAACTGTCCATTTTCGTTTAAAAGTTGGACCAGCTCACAAATAGTGGATGACTATGTTATGTTAAGGTTAGAGAACAAACTCTTCAATTCATCCTTTTCTTTTCTGAGAGCTTGAACCTCCTTTTTAAGCCTTTTGTTTACAAGTTTTAACTTCTCGACTTCTTTTCAGGTTAATAAAGGATTTTGCTAGGCTTTCCATTGATGTAATCAAGATTCTTTTTGTTAAAATTATTTTTATGGCAATCACTCCTTATGATAAATCTAATGATGTAAACACATGCACATATAGTAAAAAGAAAAGGTTAGTTACAATATATGCATGGAGTAAAAATACTATTTAACAAGTATAAGAGTAATAAATATCCTTTGTGTGACCTACTTAGGATTTTCTAACAAAAGGAAAAGGTAGGGCTCTAACTTAGGTTTGGATTCTTAAGGTTTATTTATGTGTAGGGTTCAAAGATTTGACAATCTAAAGGTTTTCAAATTATTTCTCACGTCATATTCTATTATGGACTAGTAAGACACCAAATCCTCGCCTACCATTATAACCTTAAATGAAAAAGGTTCAATTTGAGTAAAAATTTTTGCTAGCTCATACGGAGGTTATCATTTCACAAGAGTGTAAGTACTTTCTCCCTCCTAAGAAAGGATAAAGCTTAGGTCTAGAGATTATATATGAATGTAGGTGTAGTGTGTGTGAAGGAACATGCTAACCCTAAATAATCAAATAAATTGGTACACATATAAAATCAAAATATACAAAATAAACAAATAAATTAGTACGCATAAAGACTCAGAAGCTACAAAATAAATAAATAGGTTAGTACACATGAAAATCCACAAATAATTACATAATAAAACTATCAAAGCAAGGCTTAAGATAACAAACAACTAACTAATGGCTTGACTTTAATTTTTCCAGTAAAGTCACCAAACTATTATAATATTCAAGTTTGAGAACCTACTCTTTAGACATAAAAAAAATAGAGTCGTCACCAATCTTTTTTTATCTAGGTGTGATTAGCCACCTAAATGAATCTATTCATTTTAAGGTTATCCTAAATGTAAACTAACGGTCACCAGAATGAATATGTTATGGTTTACATTAACAGATCTAAGTTTAAAAGTCAATTATGTGCAAGAAAGGTTTTAGCACCCCCTTTACGTACAAAATTGATACCAAATTAATCACATGTTATCTTGTTTAAGCCTTAATCAAAGATGATTTTATTAATTTGGATATTTAAATATTGAAAAAAAATGTTTAGGTTTTCACCAAAAGAGAAATTTTCTTTACCTCAAAAGTATTCAACATAAATGTGTTGTTTACTTGAAGTGGCTTCATCATCAAATTTATTAAATATCTTATCAAAAAATTAAATCTCAATTCCTTTTATTTATTTACAAAATAATGTCATACAAAAACTCTATAAAAAATACCATGCAATTATATTATAATTAAAGCATGCAAAATAAATCAAGCAAAAAATCAAGCAATATATATTATAATCATTCATGCAAAAATATCACAATAAAATCATGCAATTAAATATCATAAAAAAAAGCAAAAAATCATAAAAACACATGCAAATAAAACTTTAAAAATCTTATCAAAGTTTTTTCTTTTTTTTTCCTCAATATTTTTAATTCAATCACAATTAGAACAATATGAAAATAAAATAACATAAATATATTAAAAAATTAAAAAAAAAACAAAAAAAATCAAAATCAAAATCAAAAAATAAAAAGAAAAATAAAAACATATTATTAGGTATGTCATTTCATTCTACTATAAAAGTCAAAAAATTTAGTTTTCCTTCAGACTTCACTTATTCCTTATCTCTTTAAGCTTAGATTCCTCTAACCTTTTCCTAGAATTTCCTGCAAAAAATCTTAATCATCCAACCAAAACCCATAACCTAACACCAAAAGATTCAAATGGTGTAAAAAAATTCAAGTCAAACCTAGAAAAATTCAAAAACCCAGAATCTAGGTACCACAAATCCCTTTAACAATTATGATCTCATTAAAAAATTCAAGTCCTCATCGAAAAATTCAAACAAATCTTAGAAAAAAACCCAAAAAATATGGAAAATTTCATAAAACTAAGAAAAATCAAAACAATCCTAGAAAATTCAACCCAAATTCCAAAATAATCCAAAATCCAAAAATCTACCAAAACCCAAAAATTAAAACCCAAAACCAAATTCCCAGAACCTAGAAATTCTAAGTCCTAAAGCAATTTCAAAACCATAAAAAATTGAACCAAATCCCAATAACCTAGAACCGAAGGAAAAAGTCCTTTGTATGTTAAAATTGCCTATTGTATGCTAAATTGCTTTTGTGCTTATTGTTTGTTGTGTTTGTGATCACATATTTGGGTTTTTATATAGGGGTTAAATACCTTTCAATTTGGAAAACTTCAAGTCTTTCTAAATCTTGGCCAAATCTCCTAGATTTTATTTTCCTGTGATCTTTCTTTTTCCTTGGATTAGGGCTCAAGAATTTCCATAAGCAATTGATTCTTAGATTTCCAAACTTCAATAGGATCTTAGAACCAAATCTACCAATTTCCTTTCTACAAAATATCACCATATATATTTTTTTTACTTTTTTTGTCTCATCCCTTAAAAATAAAAAATAATAAAAAAACCAAAAAAATATTGGTAGGAAATAATGAGAATAAAAAAAATGGATTGGACTAAAAATAGTTTTGGGCCACTTAATCTTTGGGCTTAAAATTCAATTTTACTATTAGATGAAGGTTGTCGGCGCGATATTTGAAGGCTGAAATTTGGGTTGGTTTTGGTTTTCAATGGTTAAGATATTTGAGAGAGAGAGAGAGGAGCTGGGAAAATGAAATAGAAAAAAAAAATTACTTTTATAGTTATTGAAAAAATAGCAAAATGACATTGTTTTAAGAGAGGATCCGCGTGCCAATCCATAAACTGACTTGGGAATTTCAAAACCAACCCAAAAACCAACCTTACCTAAAACTTAGACAGCTCCAATTACACCATGGATTGAACCGCTCCAGATTGCTTCAAACAGCACAACAATGGACTGGATTGCTTTCGAACTGAATCGGACCATTGTCATGAAATGCTAAAAGCCTGCTGTTGATTGGCATTGACTACATTGATAGGCATTGACCAACAAAAAAGTGGTATTTTTAATTTTTATTTAATTTTTTTCCTATGTTTTTATTTATTTTTGTATAATGTCTTCCTATTATTCATTTTATTTTCATGAACATTCCAACTTACAACTTAGGACATTAAATAATAATAATAATAATAATAATAATAATAAAGTAAATTTTCAAATAATGAACAAGAATAAACAAAACTAAAAAACAATAATGAACAAAATAATGAAATAAAAATAAAGTCACAAGTGGTGATTTTATTGATAATCTCATATCAAGGAATTTTCTCAAAAATTTACCAAAAAGTGTTGGGAATATTTTTGAGATTTTTTCCAATCAAATTTTCATAAAATGTTTCTAGTAAAAAAAAATGAAAATTTTTCAACCACAAAATTAAAATAAAATCACAAGTGGTGATTTTATTGGAAATATTTATACAAGGAATTTTTTAAAATATTCTAAAAGTGTTAGAAATATTTTATAATTTTTTTTAAAAAATAATATTTACTTTGAATATATAGAAAAAATTAAATAAATAAGTTAAAAGAAAGAAAAAAATGAGATAATAATAATAATAATAATAATAATAAAATCTCCCAATGATGGAGTTAAAATGAAATCACAAGTGGTGATTTGATTTTAATTCCTAGGTGAGGTGTTTTTCCAAAGTTTTATCCAAAGTGTTGGTAGGATTTTTTAGAAAATTTTTTAATAAAAAATAACAAAAATAGTAAATAATATAAATATAAAATACTTAATAATAAATTGTCAAGATGAGCAAAATTTTTTTTATGACAGGATAAAATTAAAGTCAAAAGTGGTCATTTTATCGAAATTCTTAGATGAATTTTTTTCAAAATTTTACCAAAAGTTTTGGAAATGTTATAGGAATTCGACCAATAAATTTTTTTATTTACCTAAATAATAATATTGAATAACTAATAAATATTTTAAAGTAGATTAAAATTCTTATTGATGATAAAACTAAAATGGAGTCACAAGTGATAATTTCTCCAAAATTTTTAGATAAGAAATTCCTTTAAATCGCACCAAAAATGTTGGGATGATTTTTAGAAATTTTACGATAAGAGAAATATAATTTATTTTGCTTCTAAAATATAAAAATAACTCCAACGATAGAGCCCTTTCAACAAAATAAGTAATTTTTTTAAATACTCTTAAAGTAAAGAAATTTTTAAAGTTATATCAAAAGTGTCAAAAATAATTTAAAATTTTTCAATATTCACATAATAAAAAACAAAAAATTGATAAAGTAATAAATAAAAAACCATTTGAACAACACCATTTTAGGATCTTATAAAATTAATTAGTACCATTTTCAGACAGACACTATAGGATACTAAAACTTTTTTCATGTATAATTATACTTTCAAACTTAATTTTGATACCATAGACCAAAAGATTATGACATTATGACACAAAAAAAAATGATTAATCATATCTCAACAAAAAGAAAAATTGATAACAACTCGATTTTTACATCTAGCGCAATGAAATCCCTAACCGGTACATTATGACACAATTAAAACTGCTTTTATAAGTATTCATATTTAACATTCAGGTCGAAATGATTTATGGGTAGTAAGAGTATGGACTTGTTACTTTTAGCTTTGACACTTAACCTGAAGGGATGTGATAGCATACAAAGGTTCTGGTGCAGTGTCAAAGGGTGTGAAAGTGACTGAGGATAGTTAATTACTTGTTAAAACTTGAAAGAGTAGAAATTCAAAATTTTTAAATGTATTACTTGTCTAGGAAATGCATCAAAAATTTGGATCTTTAGATTCTCTTTATAATTCAATAATAATAATATGTTTTACAAGTTGTGAATTGTACTTTGACAATGTATTCAAATTTCTCTGCCTTGACTTTTCCTCCTCTCCTTTTCCTATCCATTAATGTTCTCTTGCTGTCTCAGGGCACAATACAAGGTTTAAGAAAGTCTGGCGTCTTCAGCTCTATTATTGCAACAGCCCCCACTATTGTTTCTCTTTTGAGGACAAGTTTTTAGCATCCATTGATAGTAGTAAGTAACTCTTCAAGAGCTGTTCCCTCTGCATCTTTTGCTTCAAGAAAGATTGATATACAAAAGCAGAGAGCATCAGGCATCTGCTAGGAAGTGCTGAAAATTGAAGCTGGTGGAGATCATGAAGCAACTTTAACATCATTGTCAGTTCGCCCCCGGTGTGGAAAATGACCACCTCACTGGAGCATGATGTAGTGAATGCTTTTATGTAATCTCCAGCTTTGCTTTGAATGGGAATAATCATGGAACAAGAGAAAAAGTAGGCATGGACTTTTCTTCTTGTGGTGTATAGTCACAGAGATTTCTGTTCTGCAACTTAATGTTTGAAGCATGAAATCTGGTACTTTAATTCTTATCTGTAAATAACCACAGTATTGTCATTTAAGGTTGTCATTATTCTTCTTTTTTTTTTTTTTGAAAAAAGGTCCTCCAATATTATATAACTTGAAAATATGCATTTACAGCATCTTGGAGGAAAGAGGGACATTCCCCGATACAGCTTTCACTTAAACTATTTTCCAGAGCATATCGGGCAAGTCTATGGGCCACACTATTCCTATCTCTATTGACATGTTTTACTCTCAAGCGATTGGTAAGTGTGCAATTAGACCTAATATCTGCCAATATGTTCCCAGTTGTAGAGAAATTAGGTTCTTCACTTCGTATCTCCACTCTCATTGCGTCTCCCTCAAGTATGATAGTATCCAACCCCATTTCTCTAGCCATTTCAATTGCTCTCCAAGAAGCCAGTGTCTCTACCACGTGTGCATCATTTGTATGGTTCACCCTTGTTGCAGTAGCTCCTAGCACCATCCCGTAATGGTTTCTGTCAACCTCTCTTACTCCCTCTAGACCAACTAGTGATTATAGTGCTCCATCGAAATTGATCTTACTTGTCCCCTCGATGGAGGCTCCCTCTTTTCTACAACATTCTCAGTTCTTGGCAACAAGGTCTCATTGGCAAGCTTGAATTCTTGGAAGTAACTGCTTGCAAACTGCACCTCTGACTCTGCCATTCGACTAACACCTTCTTTGATTGACATATTCCTGTTATGCCATACAACCCGGCTTAGGACCAAACCAAATTCCCAGTCTTGTGTATCAGTCTTGTTTGTAATCTCTTCCAGATACCCATGATCCTCTAGCCCTCGTGCGTCTGTCCATCTTGTAGAAACACCTGCACATCTCCATATCTCATTCACTTGTTCAAGATACAAACACCTTCTTTGATTAACACCTCCTTTGAGTCTGCCATTCGACTAACACCTTCTTTGATTGACATATTCCTGTTATGCCATACAACACAGCTTAGGACCAAACCAAATTCCCAATCTTGTGTATCAGTCTTGTTGGTAATCTCCTCAAGAAACCCGTGATCCTCTAGCCCTCGTGCGTCTGTCCATCTTGAAGAAACACCCGCATATCTCCATATCTCATTCACTTGTTCACACTCTCATATTTCATGAGCAACAGTTTCATCTTGCTATCCGTATCGTGGGCACCCACTTTGAATATCTATTCCTCACTTCCTCAGGACATAGTATACAGGTAAAAACACGTTATTTAGTTTCCACCCAAAGATTTTGGTTTTGTTTGGGAGTTTCGCACGCCACAACTTCCCCCAAAACCCTCTAGCTCGTTCTTGCTGCCCATCTTCCTCGTGGCTTATATCCCTAGTCACTTACCCGTCTCTAGAGAGTAGCCTATGGTATGCACTTCGAACAGAGAACTTACCGTCTTTTTCCAAGCTCCAAATTAAAACATCTGTATGGTCTTGTTTACTCAACAGTATCATGCATAGAAGTTTTGCAATATCAACCAAGAATTGAGAAAAAAAAATTAATTCCTCGTTTCAATCTTTGCTTTGGTTGTCAATCAAAACCTCAACTGTCGCTTCCCTACTCAGTTGACTTTGACCGTTTCTCTCTGCAGTGAGTATTCCGTTATCAGGCATCCAACTATCATGCCATAAATTTATGCATCTCCCATTGCCCACCCTCCATATCAACCCCAGATTCAATACGACCCTCGTGCTTCATATGCTTCGCCAAGTTATTGAAGGATTTCGGCCAAGATGTGCTCATAGGAAGTTCCCATCTAGAAAATATTTATCACTGAACACCCTGTATAACAAGGATTCTCTGTTTTGGATCAATCTCCATCCTTGCTTGGCTAGTAATGCTTGATTGAAAAACTCTAAGTGTCTAAAGCCCATTCCACCTTTCTTTTTGCTCTTACACATTATATCCCACCTAAGCCAGTGGATACCTTTTCGGTTCTGTTTGGAACTCTACCAGTATGCACATATCATGCTGTTTATCTCCTGACAAAAGCTTCTTGGAAAGAGAAAGCAACTCATGCTATGCCAGTATTGCTTGTAGAACCGCTTTTATAAAAACCTCTGCAACTCCATGAAACAATTTTTTACCTGATTCTGCCAATGATATACTTGAAAGCTGTCTTTTTGTTCCTCCCCACCATGATGGGTAGCCCTAGATATTTTTCGGGGTCAAGAGTTTCATTTACTTCTAGTATTTGTCTCACCCCTTATCACCCATCCTCGCCAACATTTTTGCTAAAGTAAATCAGAGATTTCTCCATATTAATCACCTAGCCTGAACCTTCCTCATACCTCCTTAGAACGTGCCTCACTGCTCCGTATTCAAATTGGTTTGCTCTTAAGAAAAGCAAACTGTCGTCTGCGAAAAACAGATGATTAATTCTCGGCCCGTTTTCGCTAGCACTTACGCCACCTATGATGTTCTCCCTTTGTTTTTGGCGTAATAGTGCTGAAAAGCCTTCTGAGCGTAGAAGAATTAGAATGGCGATAAAGGGTCTCCTTGGCACAGTCCTCGCTCTGGCCAAAAAGTATCTGTGACATCCCCATTCACAACAACAGAGTGAAAAACAGATGTGATACATCGCACAATAATTGAAACCCACCGATGATGGAATCCGAACTTCAACATCATAGCCTTCAGAAAACCCTATTCTACACTGTCATGCGCTTTACTCGTCGAGTTTAAGGGCCACCAATGATTCCCTCCATTTCCTTTTCATCCTAATTTTATGAAACAGCTCATAGGCTATCAGGTTATTATCTGTGATCAACCTTGCAGGTACAAATGCACTTTGATTCTGGCTTATGCAGTGTAGTCGTACGCCTTTTCAAGCAATTGGCTAACACTTTTGCTATAATCTTATATATGACATTGCATAGGCTTATAGGTCTGAAGCTACTAATCTTCCTAGGGTTTTTGACTTTTGGAATAGGGACAATATTGGTCTTATTAACATCCTCGAATGATGGTGTTCCCGTTCAAAAAAGATAAACAGTAAGAAACCACCTCACCTCCTACAATACCCCATAATTTTTGGAAGAAAAATGCTGGCATGCCGTCAGGGCCCGGGGCCTTTGTCGGGTGCATCTGTGTAATAGCTTCGGGGACCTCTTATGCTTTAAAATCTGCTAACAAAGCATTGTTCATGTCCAGAGTAACCTTTGTTTCAATAGCATCCAAGATAACTCTAAAATGAATGGGATTTTGTGATTGAAAGAGGTTCTGAAAGTATCTTTAAGCCATCTGTTTCATTAGTTCCTCATCCTCCGTCCACTTCCCATCTTCCTCTTCTAGCCCACTGATAAAATTCTTCCTTCTCCTAGATGATGCTTAGTCATGAAAGTAGGCTGTATTCTTGTCTCCTTGTAGCCAGTTGACTCTTGCTCTCTCCGTGACCAATAAGCTTCCTCCCTTTCCAACATTTCATTAAGTTCACGTTTAACCAGCTCCGCCCTTTGCATGCTTCCATCGTTAGGGTCCATGCTTTTCAGTTCAATGAGCTCGTCTCTTAGCACCTTTATTCTATTTTGTAGACTTCCAAATTTCGTAGAGGCCCATGTTCTCATTCCAATACCCGTATGTCTTATCTTTGCATGAATCCCGTAGTGTGGCTTTTCTTCCCACCCTTGTTTTATCACTTTCCTAGTCTCCTCATCTTTGACCCAGGCCACTTCAAAGAAAGACCTTGCACTTCTTCCTCTATTTTTCCTTTGCACCCTACAACCTGTTAGGAAAATGGGGTCCAGTCCCATGTAAGTGGTTTTGGACCAAGTAAAGGCCATGGGCCTTGATCTTTTATTTTACACAGAGCCCTAGCTACTTAATAAAAAAAAGAGGTGGGGTTGTTTTGTGTGTGTGTCGAAAACCAAGCAGAGAAAGAAGAAAAGCCAGGAAAAGCAGAGAGAGAAAAAGGAGAAGGGAGAGTTGGTTGAACGGAAGTCGATCCGTGGTCCGATTGAGTTGGAACCTTGTCAGGAGGTTTATGATTCAGAGTTTGACATTCTGAACGGTGAAGATCGGGTTTGAAGCTCTCTAGGAACAAATCCAGGGTGTATTTGTTGAGTCACTTATTTGGTGAGATTTCTCCAATTGTTTCTCTAGTTGTTGATTAGCTCTAGTTTTAGCTAGAGAAGAACTTTGTATAACTATTATTTGATAGTGAAGATTTTTCTGGCGGCCCGTGGTTTTTTCCCTCTACACTGGAGGGTTTTCCACGTAAATCTTGGTGTGCTTTATTTTTCTGCGCATTTGATTATTGATTGTTGTCTATTGCTTCTGTATTGTTGTGATTATTGCTTCAGGCGCAACAAGTGGTATCAGAGCGAGGGTTATTTTGAGACATCGATACAGAAGCAACCCAGGATAGAAGTAAATTCTGTTTGAGATCATGGAGGGTGATACAGGTTCCATGATAAAATTGACAGCATCGAATTATTCAATTTGGAAGCCTATGATGGAGGATCATCTATACTGTAAAGATTTGTATGAGCCAGTATTGGGTGATTCGGCTAAACCAGCAGATATGAAAGATGAAAGCTGGAAGAAGCTAGGTAGAAAGACGCTGGCTACAATCAGAAAATGGGTTGATATCAGCGTGTTCCATCATGTAGCGCAGGAGTCAGATGCTCACATTGTTTGGGAAAAATTGGCAGCATTGTATGAGAGAAAAACAGGTATGAATAAAGTTATGCTTGTTAAAAAGATTGCAACTTGTAAGTCTAAACATAAATCTAAGTTTAGAGGTAAAGTGAAGTGTTTCCATTGTGGTAAGGCTGGTCATATAAAACGAAATTGTAGAATCTTGAAGCAAGAGCGAAAAGATGAGAAAGGTAAGAGTTCAGATGATGGCAATGTTGCAGCAGTGAATTCAGATAGTGATTCAGTTACTTTGATTTGTACACATGGTGATTGTAATCATGTTAGTGATCCCGGCATTGAGTGGATAGTTGACACAGGAGCGGCATATCATTGTGTTCCTAAGAGAGAGTTGTTTACAACTTACAAAGCAGGAGACTTTGGTTGTACCAAGATGGGAAACAAGAGTGTGTCGCAGATTGTTGGGATTGGTGATATTGGTGTACAAACTAGTACAGGCTGCATGTTGACTTTAAGGGATGTCAGACACATTCCAGATATGAGAATGAACTTGCTTGCTATTAATGTCCTTGATAAGGAGGGATATGAAAGCCGACAAAAGAATGGACAGTGGAAGCTTCTCAAAGGATCTATGGTAGTTGCAAGGGGAAAACTATGCTGCACAATGTATAAGACATGGATGCAATTGAACGGTAACCAGGTAAATACCGTTGAAAATGATGCTTCAGCAAACTTGTGGCACAGGAGGCTGGCACACATGAGTGAAAAAGGGTTACAGGTTTTGGCAAGGCACTCTCTCATTCCCTTGACCAAAGGTATGTCTCTCGATTCATGTGATTATTGTTTGTTTGGTAAGCATCATAGAGTTTCTTTTCGTAAAAGTTCTCAGAGAAAAGAAAATAGATTGGAATTAATTTATTCTGACGTATGTGGTCCCATTGAGGTTGAGTCATTAGGTGGTAGCAGATATTTTGTTACTTTTATTGATGATGTTTCACGTAAGATTTGGGTGTATATGTTGAAATATAAAGTCAGGTACTGCAGTATTTTCAAAAATTTCATGCCATGGTTGAAAGGATGACAGGGTTACCCTTGAAGTGTATTCGAACTGATAATGGTGGGGAATACACATCTAAAAGCTTTGAAGAGTATTGCTCAAAGCATGGGATCAGGCATGAGAGGACAGAACCTGGAACACCGCAGCATAATGGTATAGCTGAAAGAATGAATCGCACCATTGTGGAAAAAGTCAGATGTATGTTGAGGATGGCAAAATTACCAAAGCCATTTTGGGGTGAAGCAGTCAACACAGCTTGTTATTTACTTAACAGGTCACCATCAGTTCCTTTGGGCTTTGACATTCCAGAAAGAGTGTGGACAGGGAAAGATGCTTCATACTCTCACTTGAAAGTTTTTGGATGTAAAGCATTCATGCATGTGCCGAAAGAGCAGAGATCAAAGCTTGACAGTAAAGCTACACAGTGTGTGTTTGTAGGATATGGTGATGAGGAATTTGGCTACAGGGTATGGGATCCAGTAAAGAGAAAGACAGTCAGAAGCAGAGATGTGGTCTTTCATGAAAAAGAAACCATAGCAGATCTTGAAAAAAATGAGAAGACTACACGAGTTACTGTTGAGTGTGATGTTTCAACACCGACAGGGATTTCATAGGAAAGAGCCACAGATGGTGAAAATGAGCCAGAAACAGAACTTGGGGATATGAATGAGCCAGCCATAGTTGGTGATGAGCCAGATGCTATTAGTTTTGAGCAGGGGGAGCAATCCTCTCTACCTGAGAGTGTTGAGCAGGGGGAGCTACCTTCAGCATCAAGTGATGTAGAGTCTCAGCTCAGGAGATCTACTAGAGAGCGCAGGCCATCTACCAGGTATCTAAGTTCAGATTTTATTTTAGTTACCAGTGAAGGGGAGCCAGAAAGCTTTCAAGATGTGCAGGCTACTCCGGATAGAGAGCACTGGTTAAAAGCAATGAAAGAAGAGATGGAGTCATTGCGAAAGAATGGTACTTATGATCTTGTTAAACTTCCAACAGGGAAGAGGCCATTAAAGAATAAATGGGTGTTCAAGTTGAAAAAGATGGTGACAAACTAGTGAGGTACAAAGCTCGATTGGTAGTAAAAGGTTTTTCTCAGAAACCAGGCATCGATTTTGATGAGATTTTTGCTCCAGTTGTAAAAATGAGTTCTATTCGAGTGGTACTGGGATTGGCAGCTAGTTTGAATCTTGAGCTTGAGCAACTTGATGTTAAAACTGCATTTTTGCATGGTGATTTGCAGGAGGACATTTATATGAATCAGCCTGAGAGTTTTGAAGTGAAAGGGAAAGAGCACTTAGTTTGCAAATTGAAGAAAAGCTTGTATGGCTTGAAACAAGCTCCGCGACAGTGGTACAAGAAGTTTGATTCTTTTATGATGAGTCATAGCTATAAAAGAACAGCAGCAGATTCTTGTGTGTATATTAAACAATTCCCTAATGGTAACTTCATTATCCTATTATTATATGTTGATGATATGTTGATTGTAGGACAAGATGCTAGTATGGTTTGCAGGTTGAAAGAACAATTGTCTAAGTCCTTTGATATGAAAGGATTTAGGTCCAGCAAAGCAGATTCTTGGTATGGACATTATCCGAGATAGGAGAGCTGGAAAGCTGTGGTTGTCACAGGAAAAGTATGTTGAACGAGTGCTTGGTAGATTCAACATGCAACATGCTAAATCAGTTAGCAGTTCACTTGCCAACCATTTTCATCTAAGTAAGAAATCTTGTCCAGTGTCTAAGGAAGAGCAATTAGCTATGTCTAGTATTCCTTATTCTTCTGCAGTCGGTTCTTTAATGTATCTTATGGTTTGTACAAGGCCTGACATTGCTCATGCAGTTGGTGTAGTGAGCAGATTTCTTTCTAATCCAGGGAAGGTTCACTGGGAAGCAGTAAAATGGATTTTTAGATATTTGAGGGGTACCTCAAAAATGTGTTTGACTTATGGAGTTTCACAACCAATTCTAGAAGGGTTTACTGATGCTGACATGGCAGGCGATCTTGATGGTAGGAAATCTACTTCAGGGTATTTGTTCACTTTTGCAGGAGGAGCTGTATCTTGGCAGTCTAAGTTGCAGAAGTGTGTTGCTTTGTCAACTACAGAAGCTGAGTATATTGCAGCAACTGAAGCATGTAAAGAAATGCTTTGGATGAAACGTTTTCTTTTGAATTGGGGTTGAATCAGAAAGAGTATGTGGTATTTTGTGATAGCCAGAGTGCTTTAGATTTGAGTAAGAATACCATGTACCATGCTAGAACAAAGCACATTGATGTTAGATATCATTGGTTACGTTCAGTGATTGAAGAACAGCAGATGCTATTGAAAAAAGTCCATACTGATAAAAATGTGGCAGATATGTTGACTAAGATACTTCCCAGGGAAAAGCTTGAGCTTTGCAGTAACTTGGCCGGAATGAGTTCCCTGGCCAAGGTAAGTTCCAAATGAAACTGCTATGGTGATGAATCTCCTCCTAATGGGGCTGGAGGGGGAGATTGTTAGGAAAATGGGGTCCAGTCCCATGTAAGTGGTTTTGGACCAAGTAAAGGCCATGGGCCTTGATCTTTTATTTTACACAGAGCCCTAGCTACTTAATAAAAAAAAGAGGTGGGGTTGTTTTGTGTGTGTGTCGAAAACCAAGCAGAGAAAGAAGAAAAGCCAGGAAAAGCAGAGAGAGAAAAAGGAGAAGGGAGAGTTGGTTGAACGGAAGTCGATCCGTGGTCCGATTGAGTTGGAACCTTGTCAGGAGGTTTATGATTCAGAGTTTGACATTCTGAACGGTGAAGATCGGGTTTGAAGCTCTCTAGGAACAAATCCAGGGTGTATTTGTTGAGTCACTTATTTGGTGAGATTTCTCCAATTGTTTCTCTAGTTGTTGATTAGCTCTAGTTTTAGCTAGAGAAGAACTTTGTATAACTATTATTTGATAGTGAAGATTTTTCTGGCGGCCCGTGGTTTTTTCCCTCTACACTGGAGGGTTTTCCACGTAAATCTTGGTGTGCTTTATTTTTCTGCGCATTTGATTATTGATTGTTGTCTATTGCTTCTGTATTGTTGTGATTATTGCTTCAGGCGCAACACAACCATCAGTTTTAACAAGTATAGGATTATGGTCAGATGTTGATGTTACCAGATTGGTCACCGTACAGAGAGGAACGATCTCCATCCAGTCTTTATTTCCCAGTCCTCTATGCAGTCGCTTTCTGATCACTGCATTGGTGCCCTTGCCTTTTTCCCATGTAAACCACAAGCCTCTACACCCCAAATCTTCCAAACCCGTTCTTTCCATGGCTAGCCTAAAGTTTTCTATCGGTCTAGCCGCTTTGGGATTTCCACCCCACTTCTCAGTATCAAATAAAATCTCATTGAAGTCACCGAGACAGAGCCAAGGTTCGTCCGATTGGTCTCCCAGTCTTTCCAACAATCTCCATGTCCTATATCTTTCTGTTGTTTTGGGCTCCCTAGAGAAACCCGTAATCCTCCAGTTTTGACCTGGCTGTCCCAAGAGCTCTATGTCAATATGATTCTTAGAAAAAGATTGGAGGTTAAGTTGAACTCCATCCTTCCACATCATTCCAAAACCTCCGCTTTTACCTGTCGCGTCCACTCCAAACACATCCCTTATTTTGCATCTTTGCCTTATTCTGTCTAATGCATTCCCTTAAACCAGTGTCTCACTTAGGAATACAATATCGGGATCTTCCTGCTTCACCAAATTGTGAAGGGCTCAAATTGCCCATGGGTTCCCAAGCCCACGGCAGTTCCATGCTAATGTTTTCATTGTTCCGGGCGGGACTGGAAACCAATCTCTGTTTGGATGTCATTTTGGCTAAGAACGGGCCCTACGTCTCACTCTCCACGACTCTTTCTTGTGAAATATTCACAAAACTCCTCTTCTCGCCTGTTATTTTTTCTTCGCCTTGCATGGTTTGGTTTTGTTTACGTGTCATCCTCTTCCATCGGGCTTTGGCCAATGCAAAGATTTAATAGTTGCCTCATCCTTTGTAGACCCATTCCCTCCCTTCACATGCGAACCTTTATCCGCTGTATCGCCCTGGAGATCAATTATTGTAATGCCTGTCACAGTGCCTTCCCCATTCCTTTTAAAATGGCCCCCTTCCTATTCTTTAGTCATTCTCATCTTGCCACTCCCTGTCAATCCATCAGTTGTGGGCCCATAGATTTCATTTTGATGTGAAGTAACACCTACACTAAGTGGAGGCCCACTTAATTTGTAACTCGGTTCTTGTGTGGGCGTCCTTAGGGTGCTTCCCAAGTTCGCGTGCTCATGCACGGTACTGTCAAAATATTTCATGCACGACCTTCCCGCATCAGATTTTAAATTCAAATTGCCAGATTTTTCTTCCCTTGATATTTTTCCATCCATAAAGAAATCCCCGTATTATCCTCCTGATAATTAGTTTCCTCCCCGCTTATGTCACTTCCTTTCTGTCTTACCTTTTCCAAGTCGGCCCTACATTGCGTTGACCTACTTTCTTCCCCCACCTTCGGTCGGCTCCTTGCCGGTATGCATTCGGTTCTGACTTTTGTGAACCTCCCTTTCAATGGAGACACCCGTAACCGTTCCCCATACTCCAGCATTATTTCGTTCCCCTCTCTTGTGCAATCTTATTCTATATGGCCAATTAGTCCACACTTACAGCAAAAATTGGGTAATCTTTCGTATCCCAATCTTCCCACCACATCTTGGCTGTCTTTCCCCCTAAGGATGATTGCTCTCCTTAATGGTTTACTAATGTCTATGGGGACTCTTACCCGCAAGAAACTTGCACAGCCTCCATCCTCCTAACCTGCGTCCACTTCGAAAAGCTCTCCAATCTTCTCCACAATGCACATCGCCATTTCTTTAGATCTCATTCCAAGAGGTAACCCATAGACTCTGACCCAAAACATAGCCCTATGAAACTGGTACTCGCTTGGACGCAGGCTCGCTTTATACTCATCCATTAAAATTAGGTTTTTGTCATCCAAGGGGAACCCTCTAGGACGCTTCTCTTATGTGCTGGCGTAGAAAACTTGAACAAAAACAGGTTATTCTCAAGCTGCATAATTCCAACCTACTTTGTCGTTATCCAAACCACTTTCAATGTGCTGATCATAGCATCCTTATTGAAAGATCTAAATGTCAACAACTTCCCCACCATCCATTTCTCTTTATTAGCAGTCGTCTCGTCCAATATACTCACATCCGGTTGGACTCTGTCTAGTTCTTCCTCCGTAAAGGATTGATACTTCCACATGTTGTCCAAATCATCTGCCATCTAGTGGAACGCTCCTTGATCTTACTCACAAACTATCCCGTACACTCACTACTGCTAGACTGGTATCCCAAAGACTTGAATCAGTGGGCTTGGGAAGAACTCTTGAAATCTCAAGATTTAACTCCCCCTAGAGCAGGAGACTATTTTCAAATTCATTTTTTTTAACTAATTAAGTTAGTAGGTTGTCATTATTTCTTAGTCATTATATATGGAAATAAAAGGAAGGATTCTTAAACTTTACACTACATACGAAAAAAAAAAAAAAAAAAGAGATAAAATTATAAATAAAATTCTCTTTGTATGAAACTCAAAACTCTTCAAAAAAAAAAAAACAAATAAGCATTTAAGATTAAAATTGTAATTATTTTAAGGAATTGCTAATGTTATGAAAGTCACAAAACATTATTCTTTGTGCTTCAAATATAATGTGTATATTAAATGTAAAATAAAATTTAATATTAATAATATAAACAGTATAATCTTCTATCTCTATATATAAAATGTAAAATCCAAAAAAATTATATTAATAATATAAACAAGTATAATCTTCTATCTATCTATATCGATACATATAAAATGTGAAATCCAAAAAGATTAAAAGCGAGGACTTGAACATCACTTATAATTTATTAAATTAAGAATTTTAACTTTTTTTTGTTATCAATATCAATTATTTTGTTATTAGTTAATCTTATTTTTTTCTTATTAGAGTTCTGTTAAATTTATACAAAGAGTGTCATTAATTGTAAAAATTTCTTCTTTGATATACCAAGTTCTTAATTTGAAAAAGAAACACTCTTTAAATAAAATATATATATATATATGTATGTATCAATCATTGAGTATCTTAAAGTGTTCTTTATCCTAAGTTTTTGTTACTCATATTTTGATGATTAAGAATACTTATTTTCAACCCACTAGAACAATTGTTTATAAGGTTATAATTTTTTTCAATTTATAATAATTTAATTTATTTAAATTAAAGTATCAAACTCAAAAAAAATAAATAAATTCATGACCCCAAAAAAATAGCGTTTTTTTTTATTTTATTGTGTTTGTAGAGAGATCCAAGAAATGGTATAAAGGAAATTGAGGAGGAAAAAAAAAAGAAACACAAGTTAATTTAGCTTCAAAAGACCAAATCCATTAATTCAAAACCAACAAATATCCTAAAGAAAACAGAACTCCTGAATAACTAGAAATCAACAAATTAAAGAACTTAATCCAAATCCTTAATTCCTAAAACAAATGAAATAATTTAGCTACTCTTTATCTACCTAGCGTAGCTGACATTCACTTCAATTGTTTCGGATGATGTTCCGAGCACAATTTTGTGCAACCCAGATGGCAAAAGCGTGTAGCCTTTGTTGTCCACAATTCTCAAGCTCTTGCAAGCATCAAGAATAAACTTAACCTTCTCACTCTTTTTTGCAGCAACGAAAACTCTTTCAAATCCAACCACTTGTTTAAAATGGGTTCCGACAATACCCTCTGGAGGCTTTGAGTAGACCATGACAACTTCACTACCATCTCTGTCGCCCAAGTTCTGCACTTCAACCTCGACAGATATTTCACTGTCACAAGTTATATCATCAACTAGAACAGCAGGACATGATTTCTCAAAAGATTTCTTTGTGTAGTTCAAGTTGCGACAGTGCTGGAGCCTATCCAGTTTAATAGTGATGGGTACTTCTTTCGATGTCGTCAACTTGTAGTTGAATTTTGTGTAGCTTAGACCATATCCAAAAGGATATACCATTGAACCATTGTAGAACTTGTATGTTCTTCCAGGGTAGTGTAAGCTTTCAACAGGACGTAATGGCATAGAATCCATGGGCAGCTTATCCACATAATCATTACGATGCCATGTAAGGGGTAATCTTCCTCCTGATTAAATCAAAAAATATAAATATTAAAATGCTTGAAGTTATTTTGTGTATGTGAAAATCAAGCATTAAAATGACAGCTGCTTACCAGGATTATATTTTCCAAAGATAACATCCGCAATGGCACGACCACCTTCCTGACCAGGATGTCCAACCCACAAGATTCCTTTGATTTTCTTATTAATGTAGTCCAATTTGGGGTCCGACCTAAGAAATTGTGAGATATCAACACCACCAGCAGACATGATTACAAGAATTACAGGACCTTTGGAGGCTACTGCAACTTGGGTGATCAACTCATTTTGGTAACCAGGAAGAAGGAGTTCCTCTCTATCCAAGCCCTCATTCTCAATTTTTAAATTTGTACCCATCACAAGTATAGTTGCATCTGCTCGTTTAGCAGCTTGCGTGGCTGGAAATATTAACTTATCAGTAGGGCATTTTACTCCTTCACAACCCTGTTGGTATTTTACTTGTGCAAAGGCAGACAAGCCCTTAAGTGGAGAAACATATCGGCAAGGGGTACCTACGATAATGGAAGAAAGCAATATATTGAGTAAAAGCCTGCTGTTTAATAAAATGGCGATCAAAAAGTGTAAATGTTTTATTTATTTTGTTACAACCTTCATAATTTCCGATCATATCTCTCGTAGCATTGGCAAGTGGACCGATTATGGCTATGTTCTTATATTGATCAATTTTCCATGGCAAATTTGACTCAATATTCTTGAGAAGTACAACTCCTTCCCTAGCTGCTTGTGCTGCCAATTCGATGTGTTCTTCAGAACAAATATCCTTCTTTCCAAGTGACATCAAAGATGGAATTCCATCAAAGAATCCAAGCCTCATTAGTACCACATAGAGGTACTTTAGAGATGTATCAATTTCTGCCTCCCTCACTTTTCCTAGCCTCACTGATTTTTCAAGATAGACAGGATAGTAATCTCCACAGTCCAGATCTAAACCTGTAACATGCATGAAAAAAAATATTCTTCAATCTGTGTACAAATCAAAGACGATCACTCCTAAAAATTCATTTAGCAAATATATATTTATATATAGCAACTAGCCTGCTTTTAGTGAATGTGCCACGGCATCTTCAGCTGTATCATTGAGCCATTTGTGACGCTCAACCATCTCCAGAATAGAATCACAATCTGAAACAATATATCTGGAAAAGAGGATATATATAGAAAATTAAAATAAATAAAATCTATTTAAAAATTTTTCATAACAAAAGATAATTTTTTGAGATATACCCGTTAAATTTCCACTGTTCTCTAATTATTTCTTTTAGAAGAATGGGATCAGCGCAAGTTGGAATGCCATTAACACGATTATAAGAGCACATTACACTGCTCACATCACCATCTTTAACACACATTTCAAATGGACGAAGAAAAGTTTCCACCATATCTTGCTCGGTGACCTATAATTCATTAAAAATAATAAAAAAAAAGTTAAACCATTATTAAATTTAAAATTATATCTTTAAGTTGCTTTAGAGTATGATGCTGAAATTACCTTTGCATCGAATGTAAATCGACTCACACCCTTCCAGTTATCAATATCATAAGCAGCGTAATGTTTGCAACAAGCAGAAACCTTGAGAGGTCTGGAGCCAGTGTCATTTGTATGTTCTTGTCCTTCAAGATCTTGCAAACCTCTTACAAAGTTAGAGGCAAATGTTCCCACCACAAAAGGATCTTCACCAGGCGTCTCGGTGATCCTTCCCCATCTAGGGTCCCTTACGGGATTTATGACAGGACTCCAATAGGTTAATCCAGCATTCCCCAAATTGTACATTGCCCTTGCTTCTGTTGAAACAGCCTGTTGATAACAAACAACAGAGTAACCATTTTATTAAACGGTGAAAAGATACTGCAAAAAGTTGAGCTTAATTATGAGTTATACTAAATTTCTACCTTTCCAATGGTTTTCCAAAGCGATTGGTTAAAGGCTGCAGTTGTATGAATAACGGTGGGAAAACTTGTTGCACCAGGAACAAGTTCATTAAAATACGTGCCATGTCCAACATATGAGACACCATGTAAAGCTTCAGACCACCAATGATATCTAGGCAACCCTATTCTGATTACACCAGTTGCCTTATCTCCCATTTGGTGAGCCTTCTCTGATAATGTCATCCTATCTACCAAATCTTTGGCTCTAACTTCATAAGAAAGAGTTGTATCACAATATGCAAAATCAGCCATATCCAAACCCATCAATGCGAATCTTTTAGGATCACAAACATAAGCAAATTTATTTGGCACACGATCAGGAAAAAAATCAGCAGAACAGATAGTTAAAAAGAAAATAAAAACCAGGGAAAAAATATTAAGAACATTGATAAAGCTTTTTTCACCCATTGTTTGTTATGTGAAGAAAGTATGTAAAGCTGAAGAAAATGTGTAAAAAAAATGATAATAGGTGACCCTATTTATACAAAAATACGTCAGTCAGATCATTAGTTTAATAAATAACTTATTCTTCCTATATTTTTTCGATAAGCACTATCACATAAAATTAGATAGAGATAATATTTTAATATTATTTTTATTGAAATTAAAAAAAAAAAAAGATATATACTATACAAGTTGATCATTATCAAAATAAAATTTCTGTAATCCTATATATGCTCCTGTGATAATTTTGACTGTTACTAGCATTTTTTGCGAAAATAAGAAATCAAAAGATACTAAAATGGCTTTTACAAGCATTCATGTTCTAGCATATTGTTAATGTAATCCTATCTTACAATTACAATTACGCTACAGCACTATTACGATATGATTATTATAAAATTTTATTAACATATATAAATGTTCCGTACAAAAGGGTGTGAAGGAGACTTTGGCCGTGAAGTTATCACGGAATATACGTCTAAGCTTAAATATATATCATTTTTTTAATCTTAATTTTTTTTTTATTGGAATGGTACTAAAAATATTGTTTTACGAAATTTCAATTTTATGTATAAAACATGTCCCATATGACAATGTTGGCCTTGGTTGACTATGGATATTTATTTTAAGTTAATATTAGTTGATTTACTAAGCTAATGAAACAAGAGAAAGAGCAGGCACACAATTTTCTTGTTGCATGTGGTGTATGATCACAGAGATTAATTTCTGTTCTGCAACTTGATGTTTGAAGAAAGAAATTTGTTATTGTTATTGTCATCAATGTGTCAACACCACAGTATTGACATTTAGTTCTTATATATTTTCTCTCTATCAAAGTGTATTCAAAGTTGTTAAAAATAAATCTCCTAATTAATACAAATAATAATTTATTAATTAATATTATTATTAATTATTTACTAAGTAATATTTCTTATATTTATATTTTAATTAAATTAATAATTTTATCGCTAATTTTTTATCTTCAATTTATTGAATTCGTTTTTTTTTTTTTTTGTTAGAATCATGTTAAAACACGACCTCGAGAGTTTCATTCTAAATTAGATGAAGATTGATAAGAGCTAATTAAATACGTATGTAGCTGTTAAATATTTATTTAAAAATAAAGCAAATAATTATTCATAACATTCATTCATACATTATATTATGGATTTCTTTTCTATATTCAAGAAAATAGGTCATATATCAACTTACAAACTTAACTTAATATTTGAGATTATTATCAATACAAGACATATAAATAATCAGTCAACAATTCTCCACGGATTAGATTCAAATAAAATCTAATAATCAGTCAATAATTGGATTAAGTTCAATAAAATCTAAGAATATCCTGATATCACCCATCACTCCAGCTCTTTCACCTCTTTTTTTTTTTTTTTTCTATTTTTGGCCAGAGATCTTTCACCCTCCTGTATTACCAAGCTTTTGTTACTTTTCACCCACCAACTATTGATGGAAGACTTTATTTTGCTGGTTAATTAGACAATACTTATTAATATTTTACATCGCATTAGTTGTTACTAATTCAGGTTAAATGATTTTTTTTAAACAAACAATTTAACGTTATTTATATTAAAGCATTAATTTTACAAATGAAAAAAAAAATTCATTTGAACTAATGAGATATTGGCTTAATGATAAAGAAAAAGATTTTAGAATTTTGAAATTTTAAGTTTAAATTTTTTTATATGTGGGTTCGATAATTTGGTTATATTTAATTTATTAATTGATTATTTCGTGATTATAATATGATTATGATGTAATAAATTATTATTTAATTAATTATTTAAATATAACATTTAATTATAATTGTAATTTTAAAAAAACAATTAACCCGAATACTATTAATAGTTTAGAGAATTAACAATTTATTCTTTCAAAAGTTAATTAATCGTGATTATAAAGTTATTTAATTTTATTTCTCTTTAAGACTTCATTTGAAATACGATTACTATCACGTGGATTATAAACATCGTAAATCGATAAACACAATACATACATTTTTTCAATAAAAAATAAATAAATAAACCGTTTGAGACATTGGAGTCAATTGAAACAGGGATTACCTTTATTTATTTATCTAGTTAGAATATTCATAATGAAACGCTATATATAAGGCAGAGGCCATAAGATTGTTGTTTAAAAAAAACTTTTCTTTCAAGCACAAGGGACAAGACCAGGCTTAGAAATGACAATAATAAACCAATAGCCCCCTTTTAATAATTGGAACGCCCAAAGTTTTTATGGGAGTAATTTCAGGGCAACTATTACTTCTAAAGAAATGGCTTAGTTGAGTATTAATTGAGTAATTAACTCATAAAATGACGATCGAAACAATTCTTATAAAATTTTGACAACAATTTTTTAAGTCATATATATATATATATAGAGAGAGAAAGAGAGAGAGAGAAACAGAGGAATCATTCATTTACATTAATGTAAATGTTATGTATTTTTTTTATTATTGGATCAAAATAGCTAAATGTTATAATATATCTGTTTAAAATTTCGATCACTAAATATAAAATATCAAAAGTTATCACTAATTTTTTTTATTAAGATGTGATTAATCACCAATTTTATTGTTTGGTCTATGAATTTAAAGTTAAATTTGAAACACAATTACATGTGAAGAAGATTATGTCACCCCAACAGTACCTATATGAAAACAATACCAATTAATTTTATAAAATTCTAAAATACTATTGTTTGAATAGTTTTTTACTTAATATTTATTTTATTATTATATTTTTATTATAGAAAATTTTCTAAATTATTCCTAACATTTTTAGTATAACTTAAAAAAAATTTCACTCTAAAAATATTCAAAGAAATCACTTTCTTTTTAAAGAGACCTCGTCATTTAATTCATTTTAATATTTTAAAGTAAATCATAATCCTCTTATACCAACACTGTTAATATGCTTCTTAAAAATTTATAAGAAAGTTGCCACTTCTAATTTCTTCTTAATTTTATTATCAATAAAAATTTTAATTAACTTTAAAACATTTATTTATTGTTTATATTATTATTAAAGTAAGTAAGAATTTTATTGGTCAAATTCTCAAAATATTTTCAATATTTTTGAAATATTATGAGAAAATTACTTGCCTAGGAAATTTTGATAAAATCACTACTTGTGATTTTTATTATTATAAAATTTTACTTGCCTTGACAATTTAAATACTTTATATTTTATTATTTTTTATTAAAAAGATTTTCAAAAATCTTACCAACACTTTTGGTAAAATTTTGAAAGATATCTTTTTAAGAATCACCACTTATTATTATTATTATTATTATTATTATTATTATTATTATTATGTATTTATCTAATTCTTGCTACTTATTCAAAGTGAATATTATTGTTATTATTTTTATGTTTGAATATTTTCAACACTTTTAGAATATTTTAGAAAAATTTTTTGTATGAATATTTTTAATAAAATCACCACTTGTGATTTTATTATTATTTTATTATATTTATTTTATTAGAAAAGTTCTCAAAAATAATCCCAACACTTAGGTAAATTTTCGAGAAATTCTATCAATAAAATCACCATTTTTGACTTTATCATTATTTTATTATTTATATTTTTTGTGTTTAAAAATTCTAAAACATTTCTAATACCTTTAAAATATTTTAAAAAATTTCTTTGCATGAATATTTTTAATAAAATCACCACTTGTGACTTGATTGCTATTTTATTATTTTATTTATTATTTTTTTTCTTTTTTATATTTTTATTTATTCTTGTTCATCAAAATTTGTATTTTCATTATTTCATTGTTTCATTTTATTTTTTATTTATTTTTTTAAAAGTATTTAAAAGAAAATTACAATTTCAAATTTTCCTAAGTTTATTTTTCTTGCAATTATTTTAATCAATTTCAACCAAAAAATATTTTATTTTTTCTAAATATTTTCCACCATTTATTTTATTTTCCTATAAAAAAATTTACACAAAAACAAAATAAAAATACCTCAAAAATAAAAAATTAAACAATAAAAATATATTTAAAATTTTGAGCAAAAAATAAAAAAAAAAAAATTATGATAGAAATACCTAAAATACACCTGGTCACTCTAATCAAAGGTTCAGGGTCGGTTCAACCTGTTCAAAGCAGTTTGAAACAGTTCAAAGCAATCTAAAGTGATTCCAAGTGGGTTGGGCCAATCTAGAATGGCCTACCTAGTGATTTGAAATAACTCACAATTGGTTCGTCTGATTCAATGGTGGTTTAGTTGGACCGATTTAGGGAAACAATAACAAGTCAAGTAGTGGGTCAAGTGCACGAACCTCAGGTCCAGGTCGAATCGACTAGTGGATCCTCTTAGGACAAAACAACCTCATTTTCATTTTTTTTTATATAAAAACCAAAAAAAAATTATTTCATTTTTTTTACTTTTTTCTCTCTCTAAGAATACCAAGAATCTGGCAACTTTGGGCCGTCGTCACAACCAGTGCCATTGCCAGCCACCATTAAGGGGGGTCAAACAAATTTTTAAAAATTTTAAAATACTTATTTCAACTCCCTAAACACTAATTTGACCTTCGTTTTCCTAGAAGTGGCCTTAAATGCAATAGATTGAGGCCTAAAGTTTTGGTTAAACACCATTTTTCTTTTCTTTTTTTTAGTGTTAAGGTTCCTCACAACTTTGAGGATTGTGGTTTCCTTATTTGTTTTTTTTTTTTTTTTTGGTTCTGACAAAATGGATTTTGATATTATTGGTGGGAGTCTTGGGTGGGTGGTCTCTGTGTGTACAAGGGTGGCTCACACAAGGTGATTATAGGTTAATATGGGGCTAGTGCTAGGCTAGTGCTAAAGAGGAATCTAGTGTGTAGGACTGGTGCACGGTAAGTG